CTTAGGAATTCCCAAAGTGGAGTGGGTGCCATTGGGGGGGTCGGTAGTTGAGAGCCCTTAAACAGGTTCCTCACCTTGGACCACCTCCCCCATAGGAATGCCCCAACTGTGGCGTCCTTTTCTCAATCCAAATTGGGAGGACACCTCACCTACCCCTGGGTTTCCCGGCAGAGTCGTACCAGAACCTGGCGCTGGCTGGAGGAGTCGGGGCCCTTTGGGACCAAACCTTACGGCGAATGTGCGAGTTTCCCGTTTCTTGTTCCAACTACCCGTATCTTTGAGGTAGAAAACAAACATATGTTCAGAAATAATATTTCAGCCGCTTAGTCTACAGAATATAGTCAATATGGAACATACAAATAGAACCACCGAATATTGGCCCATCTACGTCACATAATCCATGTTTCCAGTATCATAGATTCCCTTGAAAACCAAAACAAAGAGCAAACAACAAACATCAGCGTAAGCAAATGGAAGCATCATCATTGGGCCCAAAAACTTGGAGGGCAATGCGAGTCTGGTCGTTCGGGGCTTCCCAGACATACGAGGGGTGTCATTTGTGTTGATGCTTGTACCCTTTTTGGGGTTGGCTTAAAAGGAAACGGGACACCAACCATTTTTTTTGGGGGGGGTGCTCCGGAAAAGGACCACCCATAAGGAGCTATAACCCTGAATCAATTGAGGGTGTTGCACACATAGTGGCCGCCGGCTGTTTCGGATGGTTTTCAACCGCCGACGGCTCCGGTTCTAGATCCCTATGTTCAGAAAACCACCAGAAAGGGTTAAGGAACCTTCCCTGGTGCTGTTCTAGATCCCTATGTTCAGAAAACCACCAGAAAGGGTTGTGAAAACCACCAAGGGTTGTGAAAACCACCAAGGGTTGTGAAGGAACCTTCCCTGGAAGGTGCTGATGGAAGGGTCAGAAACCCTTCTTGATGCAAAACGTGACCCCCCAGGGCCACTGGAGGTCCGGTTCTTCAAAGCTTGCAATGGAACTGGTGGCGTTGCTTGAAGCGTTTGGAGCTTCCCAGGCACATGAGTCACAAACAGAAACACGGTATCAAATGGTTGACCATGTTGACCCAGAACCATGCTTCAGGAAATACAAAGGCGGATATCCGCAGCTGTTTCTGGCTGGGACTGTTCCTTACTAACCTTCATCTGCCCGGGTTTTGAGCAAGTGGCTCACATGGAGGAAACCCTGCCTGAAGCAGCCTCTATCATCACCTATAGTCGTGTTAACTGCGATCCGAGAATGCACGGGTCTCGGGATCCTTTGTCTCGCGAGTTCAAGTAAGTACACGACCTGGGACCCAAGGCCGCAAGCTACTTGGCTGGGGCTCAAGAACATGTACCCGGACCCTCAAGCTACCCTAGAAAACGGGTAATTCCTCTAAACTTATGAGTGAAATCCCCACTTTTTATGAGTAGTTTGAGGGTCCAGGTATCAAAGGGGCAGCTTGGCAAATGGAACCAAAGACTACAACCTGCACAACCCTCGCCACACCCCACTTCGGAATCAGGGCCGATAGGGCTGTTGGCCGGCTTGCCTTTATTGCGCCGGCTTACCTTCACGGGATTTGCAGATTTCTTGTGGAAGACATAGTTTTCTAATCAGCTAGGTCCGCCAGTACAGAGGCTAGAATAAGGGTACCCGATTGTTTTTCTGTAGTCTATTCTAGTAGGGGGACCCTCCCCCAAAAAAGGGTAAAAGGGCACTACTGGGGGACCTAGTCAGGCAATCTGACCAATTCCTGACCCTTTCGGCTGCCTCGGACATGAGTACCTATGAGTACCTATGAGTACCTGCAAAATATGGGAGATTGATCAATTGCTATGGCCCTCCGAATCAAAAGTCCTCACAACCCTTGGATCAACGCTGTGTCCAACAAGGGGAAGGCCGATTCCAGAATTTGAGAAACCCCCACACCTCGAGGGTCTGCTGAAAACTGGGCTGTCCTCAGATCCCCTGCTAAAAGTCGAACACTTTGAGTGGCTTAGATACGGAAACTATCACCAAATCATCTGAAAAAGCCACCCTGCCTCCAAATACATTGCACCTGTGGGAGGGTACCTGGAAGACCAAGTTCCTCTTGCAAAAAACCCCCCTTTCAGGTGCCATGTTAGTGGGAGAGAGGGTAAAAGCCTAACCGGAAGGCTACCTGGAGTCTCCATGACCCTTTAAAAATGGGTCAACGATCCCGTTATTTAGGGTAATGACCAACAATTTTTAAAGGGTCATGGAGACTCCAGGTAGGAACCACCAAGAAAAGGCATCAACCAACACAGGCGAACCACCGGGATGCGAAGCTCGGCGGCGCTGCGAGCTCGCGGTGCCTCGAGACGTGACGCGAACGAGCCGCTCGGGAGGGTTAACTCAGACCCCTGGTGATGGGCTTCGAAGAAGGAAAAAAAAAAAAAGAGAGCAAAACAGGGCTTCCTAGAGTCGCCATGACCCTTAAAAAATGGTCATTACCTAAAATAATGGGATCGTTGACCCATTTTTTAAGGGTCATGGATGGAGACTCCAGGTTTACTGGGCAGGGCTTTACTCAGGAGCAGTGAGAAACATGGTGCCCCTCTGGCACGACCCTGAAAAATGCGCGGACAAATTGGTGCTCTGGAAAACATACAGCATAGTATAGTCCTTGCCAGTTTCGGTTGGGGGACAAGTTCAAACAGTACAGTATGTGGTGCGAAGGCGTCTTTAAAAAATGGGACAGCATCGTCTCCCTTTGACGGGCGTACAAAACAAGTGAGACCGAGATCGACAGAGTCTCGTCAAATAATTTCGGGCGGTCGAAGAATGCAATGCAAGGGGGAAGCCATTCCAGAGTGGAAACCAACCACCATGAAGGGGAGCCATCCAATCTCCAGACCAGTAATTCATGTTGCCCTGGGATGTATTTATTTGGGGGGCTGTCCCTGGTTTTAGTGGGGATTCATCACTTTTGCGGAAAACCACCCCCATTTTGATACACAGGGGTTTATTGATCAAGGGTCAACATGAACTGTGGGCAAGAAACACAGAACCCTTTCCTTGGTCGTTCCGCCACATTGTTCAAGACCCCACCCCACCCAATTGGAGTGAGTGCAGCCCACATCCCGGCCGAAGCCAACAATCAGGCCTCCCGCTAAGCGGAGGGGCAAAGCATGAATTACATCCAAGAGGAGTTGGTCTAAAGGGATCCAAAATGAACAAAGGGCACCACTGGAGGTCTGGGAATCCGAAAAAAACGGGCACCAACGCGGTGGGCGGGCGAGAATGACTCTGGGCATCGCGCCAGGAAAGCGCTTGGCCGTGTCTTGCTGCGCCCTCGGATGGAGGGAAGCAAGAATCCATGGGGGTTCATATATATATATATATATATTATTGTCATGTATGGCAAATAATGGTTGGGTTTCCATTGTTTACCTAAGGATTATCATCATCCAAATTGCGTCCCAATGCCACTCGCTCAATGGGGGCAAGGAACCGCAGGGCGAACGGATCCACCCAGTGTCCAAAACCGACACCCAAACGCTTTGCTTTCCTTTGTGAAGCCGTAGCAGCTACTCAAGGGGGAACCCATAGATAAAGAAAACCTGCTATCATACTGTAGAGCAAAAGCCATCGATAGAAAGCATAGATAAACACCTGGAGGTAAGAGATCCGACCCACCCACCGTTGAATGTACTGTGGACCTGGGTTCATCGACTGTTGTGGGTTCTGTCCCCTGGGTTTTGGGGACATGCAAAACCGAAGCCCAGCGCCATGCCCGGGAACCAAAAGCCAAAAGGGAAATGCTTGGAACACGGGGCCCCGTAGCTTTGATTTCCATTCTTGGTGCCTAGTCTTCACACATATAGCAACTCCTGAGTGCATTGGAACAACAAGAGCAAGTAAGCTGTTGGCAATAAACACACAAACGCGGCCTGTTCAATTCAAGTCCAAACATTTGGGGAGTGATTCAAATTTCAAATGGCCTGTAAAACCACCTTCACCTTCCAGGCTGACCCGTTTGGAGTTGTCCTTTTTGTTAGTTTCTCGTCTTTATTGAACTCCTGGTCCTTTTTACAGCGTTTGCTTCTGATTCATCTCTAGGTGCAGGCCCAAAGCACACACAAGAACCAGTCCCTGTGAGAAGGAGCCTCCAGGTCCTGACATTGAGAAGCGAGGGCCACCATCTTCAAACAGCCCTTGTCTCTATCGTACATCATCTGGAACCCTTTCCACGAGGATTCGTGCACGAAGCAGTGGCTTGTCCAATGGCTCAGACATGTACAGCACTCCTTTACGTGCAGGGATACTGGGCTGTTCTCAGCTCCCCTGCTAGTCGAAACCTGTGGGTCAAATCCGGAAGCTACCACTAGATCAACTAAAAGGCTAAAATGGCTAAGCGGATGGCTGGTTGAGCCAGGATGGTGCATGGATTCGAGGCAAACAGGGGAGTTCACTGGGGTACACAGGGGACCCGGGTTGCTGGATCCTCTACTTGCGATAGCCGCCACAGGGCCGAAATCACAAAAGACCAACGTACAAATGGGTGATTGCGACAAAAAGTTATGGTTGGTGAATTCCCTGCTGTTATTGGTATAGTTTGCAGGTGAGAAGAGCCATGATCGCCCTGGGTGTCGACATCCGCAGAAAGCAACGAAAAGAACCGGCGTCCTCTCACACCCCATGCGCTCCGCTAACATCGCCCTGCTCTATGTGGGTCCGGTAGTCGTGCTGTCATGGTGGAGGGTGATTCAAAGAGCAGAAGCCCCTGGAGATTTACATCAAGGAAGCCCCTCTCCCCCGCTCTGAAGCCGCCAGCGTGCGGGCCCCTCGCTTTAATCTGCCAAGCCTGACCCGTCAAACCTGCCGCGAGGACATTGCCCACGTGTCTTTGCCTTCGACCCACATCTTCTCTACCTCACGAGGTGCCTGCATTGGAACAAGCAAGCCGTTTGTCGGGACCACTTTTAAGTGAACCTATCAAAAAGGGACTTCCTCAACATCTGCACTTTCAGTGGGTGGCTGCCACTCAACATCACCATACTTTCGTGCACCATGGACCAGGCCAGCTAAAGTGATGACCGAGGGTGGGTTGCAGCTTCTCTGCATCGAACTGTGCCGGAACTCTTTTGGCTGGCATCTCATGCGGGCAGGAAGACCTTGATGAGGTCCCAGCCAGACAGCTGATTCAGGTACGCTTCCTCGGTAGGAAAAATCCAGACCTGCAGTTACTGGGTAACCAAGAAGGATCTTTTAAGGTAGCTATTGGGAGATGGAGAAGGAGAAAAACGTCCAACGTCATCCTCTCAGGGAGTTGCTGGGAGACCGAATTGCCCAAACGTTGTGTCTACCAAATGGTCATGTTTAAAGGTAGGGCCTATGGCGTTGAGCAAACGGCCCTTGAACAACTTTGGGTTTATTTGACCTGCACATTGGAAAAGTTGTCGCTTGGCCTGAAAGGGGCTGCATGACCTCCTCTGACCTCCTCGATGTCTAGACACGATCTTCCAGGGCCGCCTTTGGTCATTATCGTTCCAGGCCCACGTCCCGCCTGGGATTTGCATGTAAGGGAGGGCACCCTTGTGTTGGCAGGCTGCACTTACAAAGGGCGATCAAAATAGGCAAACACCAAAGTGGCAGTTTTCATTGTGGGCTTCCCTTTAAAGCAGCACCCCAAAAAAACGTTTCCCTCAACAAACGCCTCTAACCGAAACGCCTCCTGCCATGCCAAGCCGCAGGAAGTCGCTGCTCGCACCTAAGAGGCCCGACCAAAGGGATCTGAGTCAAAATCAAAACCTGGTATTAAAGTGGTTGACCCAGAACCATGCTTCAGGAAATACAAAGGCGGATATACGCAGCTGTTGCTGGCTGGGACTGTTCCTTACTAACCTTCATCTACCCGAATCGGTTCTGATTGTGGCTCATCTGACGTGTGGGTATGGGTCAAGAACTTCTTTTGTTTTTTTTTGCCAGGAGAACGCAGGTTTTAGAAACCATGTGTCCATCTGCCAGGCGTCCATTTTGGGGGGTTACCCGATTGTTGACCCACAGCCATGTTGCAGCTTGAAAGGGAGAATGACGGAAGCCAAAAAGGGCAAATAGTTCAAAATGTGGGTTTAGTCTGCCATTGTTATTTAGTCGGTCGGAGGATGGGGGGTCAAAAAATTGTGAGCTTGAGTGGAGTGGGGTGAGCGCTTTGCATCCGGAGTCAACATTGCCCAGTGCTTCCACTTCGCTTTGTAGGCCACCAGGGAAAACCTGGGCCAGGTTCAACCCTGGCACTTGTAATTAACTAGAAGCACTGGGTTCAACAAACATAGCAGCGCACATTTCTATATGTCAGCAACCAGAAAAAGGGGATCCCAAGTGAGGGGCCTTCATCATAGCTGAGCTCAGATCAGGGCCGTGCCAATTTCACTGCCTCTTGAGGGACGCCCTTTTCGTGCTGCTTGAAAGGGAAACCAAAAGGAAAACCGCTTCCATCTCGGGGGTCCGATTCCTAAAAAACAACATACCCCACACAACATTGCAAATCCCCACGTTCTTGCAGTTGCCTTTATAGGTAACCAGGGTTCCACACTGTGGATGAACGAAATCCTGCACCACCAAAATGTCTGATGATTCCCCCGTAAATACCAACAAACGCTATGGTTTCAACCATGGTTTCATTTCGTGGTGCGGGAAATGGACTTCGCCACCATCCGCAGTGCCCATCTCGACGCTTTTATTTGGCTGTGGCTCAAAAAACCGGTACCAACATGGAACCTTGGCAAGTGGAAACATGGACCAAAACCCGCGTAACCCCTCCTGTTTAATTTTGAGCCACAGCCATTTGGCTTTTTTAGGCCGCGAAGAAGCAAACAAAAAACAAGAGGCGACGCTTCACGCTGGGCGGAGCCGCTTCCAGGTGTCCGCGATCTCAAAGACCTCCTCGCTGATGGCGGAGACCCAGCTGTCCGTGCGCACCCCAGTGGACACGTCACGCATCAAGTCCTGGAAGGCGATATGATGGAACTCGTGGGGCCGTCCACCTTACGCGTGGGATCCTTGCCCCCATAAAGAGAATGCAATTTGGATGATGACAATCCTTAGGCAAACAATCGATCGTGTTCTTTCACGAAGCTGCATTGTTTTGATGAGTGTTTTGTTACCCCACGGCTTAAGCATTGCCTCTCCAAAAAGAAACTCAATTGGATTTGTGTCCAAATAGGGATTCGAACCCCAACCATGGTGCTTGCCCTTTTGTTTTTCCTATTGCCTGAGACAGGCTTCGCTACATTCCCCTAAATATCACCCCAACAACAGCAAGAAATGGGTCGATATGGACGCTGAAATCCGGATTCTTCAACAGGAGGTCCCTTCCCCAGCAGGTAACCAGGGCAAACCAACATCTAGAGGCAAAAGACACGGGTAGACTACTCATCTGGTAACTGGAATCACTGAGTTAAACATCACCAGCCAAAACTTAAATTTAAACGCAACCCCACCGATGATGTTCAAGTCACCGGGCACACTTTCCACACCTCATAATGAAGGAATTTCCAAGGAAGACGGGCACACACGCACCATTGAAAGGCGACGCGTGTATCCATGAGAGCGGCACATACGCACAAGTGAGCACTGCCATAATTTCGGTGGCCATTGGGAAAATCGGCTTCCCCGGTGCGGTGGTTTGGTGGCGTTCCGGGGGTGGTTTCCCATTTACCCTCTACAAGAACCAGAGGTTCAAATCCCCAAACCACCATTCCCAACCACCAATTTAGGGCTTTCTCGACACCTTTCACCCCTTCAAAAAACAAGTTGAAAAGCAGCAAGCCACTGGGTGTCTGGCAGGGGATTTTGCAACCAAGGGTTCCCTGCGTCGGTGAGCTCGTCATACATGCCATTGAGTTGTTCTACGAACATGGTTGCTGTGAAGAATTATTGTCGTTCCTATATCCACGAACTATGAAAGTGGGTACTAAATACAAACACACACACACACACAGTTGGCCAGTTTTTGGGGGCTCACTCCGGAGTATTAGCATGATGTCTCCAAATGGAGGCCAAAAGGAAACCCCCAAGAAGCCAGAAGAAACTACAAAGGCCAAGTTTTCAACAGGTCCTGTTGGGTTTGTCTCCAAATAGAGGAAATCCCCAAATTCGCGAAATGGCTTCGTTGTGGTTTCCGTTTAACACGGCCGCAGAAAGGGTAGCCCCGAACAAAAGACCGCAGCCACACAGCCATGCGGGCTTGAAATTCACCAAATCAAAACATGGGTGAAGCGAAAACACTTTGAAAGTGAGGGTTTCTTGGTTGCGAAATCTGCGAAGCCCTGCAAACAGTGACTAACTTTCTATTTAGTGGTTTAATACGGACAACCAATTCATGAGTTGGATCAAGTGATTCGGTCCCAACCTTGGCAAAATGCACCAAAGGTTTTGGGGGGGCCAATTTTGGGGGGCCGTAAAACAGGGACACCAACCCCAAAACACGGCGCGGGCTCTTTGGGAGGGTGCCAAAGGGAACCAGGAAAACTATCCATTCGCAGGTGCCCCCAAAAAAAGGGTATACAGACATACCTAAAATATATGTATATATATATATATGTATATATGTATATGTATATATATATATATATGTATATAAATGTATTTATATATAGTTGCAGTCATCACCTGCTCCAAGGCTCCCTCAGCGGAGTAGCGGAGTACTCTGCAGACTTGGGGCAAAGCGCTTCGCGCGTATGTATATATATATATATACATGTATAGAGAGAGCGAGATAGAGAGAGAGAGAGAGAGAGAGAGAGAGAGCGACCTGGGCCTACAACCACCCAGAATCAAGATGGAATTCACCCGGACCATTATTTTGAAGTTGCACGTCGCCCCATGTTCAAGTTGGAATCTGTTGAGGGTCCAGATATATACATTATTTATGGCCGTGGGTCAAAGCCCGTACCCCCAGCGAACATCCCAATCCCCACTAAAAAATAGACTAGAATGGGTGGTGCACCCACCCCAAAATGGTACCATTGGTTTTGACCCACAGCCATATGTACACATATATGTATAATCAGACATGTTTTGCCAAAGCCCAAAACACGTTTGCCCAAGCAATTCGGCCTTCAGCTTGAGATAGGCCAGCTGCCGCTGACCATCCACGAAGAAGTCCAGGCGCTTCTCCGGGTCCAGGAAGAAGGTGTACTTCTGCGCCTGAGCTTCGACCCGGCCGCAGACGCGGCCGACGCGGCCGACGCGGCCGACGCAAACCCGGGGAGTCCTTTGCATGGGGTGACCAGAACCGGAAACCAAAAAGATGACTCGATCACACGGGAAAAGTTACCCTAAATGGTGGTGAAACTACCAACCAAAAACTGTGGGTGGGGCAACCAAAAACCTGGCTTACCTGTCTAGGTGCCGTTTTTTTCGGCGGGTGAACTGGGTTTGTTCAAGCATTGGAGGTTCAATTCAGGTGATCTCACCATGGTACGTTGGGCAACTGGGGTGATCGGTCCCCTATTAGCCATGGACTTGTAGCTTACTTCCTTGACCGTGGGGTTTTCACCTCCAAGTACCCAGTGCTCCTTCGGGGTTGCCGTGGCTCACGCGTTGGGGAACCCCCAATTGGCTCAGCACTGCTGTGTTCTGACCATGACCATGTCCAACCACAAACACAAACATAAACACAAACACAAACACAGACACAAACACAAACACAGACACAAACACAAACACAGACACAAACACAGACACAAACACAAACATAACACAAACACAAAATACAACCACACACATCACAAACACAAAAACATCACACAAACATAAACACAAACATACATACAAACACTAACACACTCTCTCTTTCTCTCTCTCTCTCAAAATCGCACTTGCCATGTTGAAAGCAGGGGCTCTCCAATTAGAAAGCACCCGCCCTAGCCCGCGATCAAACCATATTGGCCCCACTTTGGGGGACGTCCGCTTTTTTTGGCCTCTGAACTGATCCAGGCCCAAAAAACATACAGAAACTCATGGCCTGAGAAATTTGCTCCGCCCTTTCTTTGGCACCCGTCAAAAATGCGGGCCACCTCAAGAAACAGCAGAAACAAGGAGCTCTGTTTTCTGTGTGTTGCACTTTTTCTGGAGGCCCCACAAATGTTTGCAACGAAGGCGCCATGCGGCCCTCCTGCTCGGGCACCGGAGCCGCTTGCCCAGACAGCTGGCCCCGCGTGAAGGGGTTCTTGGCTGGGCCGGTGGCGGGAAGCGCCTGGCGCGCTTTACAAAGGGCGCAGCCGCCCAGCCGCGCAGCCCTGAATTTTACGTCAGGTAGGTGGAAGGCTCTGAGCAACCCTGTTGGTTGGAAGGCCTCAATTGGGAAAACAATCTTTGGGCTGATCATCTCGTTGTTTTGTTGTCGAGCACAATAATAATAAAACATACCTATAGACACATGTCGGAAATAAATGAAACAAGTGCAAGTGAACATGCGAGTGGTGGCTTTTATGCATGCTCATGTTGACTGACCATCCGCGGGTCCGAACATATTCCGGCGGCTTCGGCGGGCGAGTTGGCGGTAGTTTGGAGAAGGTTGCATCCGCTTGCTTTGCACGTGATATTTGGGTGTGGCTCAAAATTTAACCAGGGAGCCGCAGGTTTTAGTCCTTGGCTCCTTTTATCGGGGTTTTCCATTTTGGGGTTACTTTATTTTTGACCCACAGCCATTCGGTGATCCCCCATGGCTCACCCATCATTACTTTGAGAAACCACTGTATACACTACCTGGAAACAACATGGGAAACGACACTAAGCTTTTGGCAATTACAAAGCAAGGGTTCCTGGAAACAGCATGGGGAACGGACACTAGAAAGAACGGGCTTTGGTTCTTGGGCTTGTGCTTGGCAACATTTTTTGGGACACCCCCAAATGATGGTTTGTCCTCTTGGTTGCTTTTTAAAACCAACCAAAAGGAGTACTCTGAAAAAAGACCAGACCAATTTGAATTCTCTATGCCAGTCACTGCAACCGGAAGGCCAACTTAACTGCGCAAAAGGCACACACCGCTTGACCGAGTGAAAAACAAATCTAGTAAATGGGTTGAGGCTGCTGGAAACACACAATGACACACACGTTGAAAGTGACGTCCGCACCAAAAACGTCCGCATCTCCTTGACTCTGCTAAGATAAGCTATCGAAGCTTGCGGGCTCGTCATGTGTCGAGGGTCCCCCTGGGATTTGAAGGCAAACCAATAAGAAACCCGCCCTTCTGGGGGGTCCGCTTCCTAAAACAAACACACACCCGACATCCACTCAAAAGGCTAAGCCCAGTTGGCCAGTCACACGCTTGTTAGTTTGCTTTGACTCAAATTATACGAAGATCTCTCCCGGCGAACAAATGAAGTTTGCCAACTCAACACGTCATGAAAGGTCTCACTTGGATAGGCCCTCACTAAAACTCGCTGCAAGCTCCGCAAACCAAACTCTGAACAGAGAAATGGAACGGCTTTCCACAAAAAGACAAAAGCCTGAGCGGTGTCGATCACATAGCACTGCACGTAGTCGGGCCCCTGTCCCGACAGCACTGTACGGGCGTAGAGCTTGTGCAGGTCCCCCCTCGGCGTCGTGAGAGGTGATCCACTTTCACCCCCCCCCCCCCCCCAAAAAAAAAAAGGGCCGGGTATATGCCTCACATCCGATCGAGTGGATGGGCCACCCCCCCAACAGCAAAAACAACAACAGGTATATACCTCTCATCTGACCGAGTGGATGGGCCACAAACAGTCAAAACTTTAAGTTTCCCACTAAATTGGTCCAGACCCAAAAGTAACAAGTGGCCCTTTTCACGCGTGAAGCCCCAAAAGGAACTGCGGTGTCTTCAACCACTTGCTTGAGCCTTTTCTTGCTGGTTCTCAGCAGGGAATGAGGGAAGGACCCCCGAAATAAACCATCCCCTACGGTGTTCCTTTCAGGGAATCCTAGGTTCAATCCCACAACCCTCGTGAGCACAAGCAAGCTTTGGTTTGAACTCCTGGGGCCTTTCAGTCCAACATGGAATCAAAGGGCGAAAGACATAGGTGTCCTTTTAGGGGAAATAGATGGGTAGATGAGAAAAAACCACCAGGTAAACCAGGAATCGCCATCGATTCTTCTAGCAAAACAACCAAAAAGGACACCTATGGCTAAAGGAAAAAAACAAAAAGGTGTGTCTTTCCTTGCAGATACCCCCCCTTTTATGTTTGTACAGGGAAACCAAAAGGAACACCGATGCCACTTGTATTGCATGTGTTCTTCGGGGGGAGGGTCCGACTTCTTAAGAACATGCACACCCATTTTGTTCACGCATTTTAATACGGGAATGACCTCAAAAGTGGTTCGTGGTCATGAATTCCCAGCAAAATCATGTCCACCAAAGTGTCTTAAAAAAGACACCTGGACACATTGACCCAACAACTTCGGGGCAATAATCCATGTTCAAGTTGGAAGTTTGGAGGGTCCAGGACAACCCATTTCTCCTCGCCTGTAGATGATTTCGCTCTTCACGTGCGGAATGCCAGTTGAGAACTTGGAGCTGCTCCGCACGTAGAGCCTCAAACGGAAAACATGCGCGGCTAAGCGAGAGCAAACGGCGCGAGAAAAAAGACCAAGCCACCCACCAGGAGCTGACATCAGATGCTTTCGTCTTAGGAATGCAACACAAAAAAACACATTCCTCACAAGTGGAATGGACAACAACCTCCTTAATGTTTTGACTTTCCTTTGTGGCGATCTTACGGATTCATGCCTAAGCTGCGCGATTCTAAGGCTCGGATTCGGAGCAGACACCTAGTTGTTGCAAGATGCTTCCAGGTCATCCTGCAATGGCATTCGCAGAGTTCCTTACACGCCTGGCCTTTTTTGGGTTGCGAAAACGAGCAAACCACACGCACATGCAAGATCATGCAAGTGTCCAGAACAAATTCGTTCCAGAACAGCTCTGACAGCTGGGGTTCCAGGGGTTCTTCGGAATTTTTGGGGGATACCGCCTGGGTTGTTGGACCTTCTCCTGCTGGTGGTTGGTCAAAATTCACCTTTTAGACGGCCAGACTTCCACGGTCCATGCGACAAAGGAACCTTTTGTTGGCTGATTCTACGAGGAAAGCCTCGCCGAAGATAGGACAAAAGCCAGAACTGGGGTCTGGGTGTTCAGCACAAGGACGGCAAACTCACAAGGTTGAACGAAATTCAGCAGCTGGGATAGATGGATCCCCTTACAACCATGGACAAGCCATCAAGTGCATTTCGTCCATTTCGTCCAACTCACTTCCTGAGTGGATTGGTCAGAGAAAGTACCCACACTTTGTATTGACCACTAATTAAAAAGATCCAGACCCAAAAAGTGACTAAAGTCCATGAACTCGTCAAGTAAGCCATGAGCCAAAAGTAGTTTTCACCGTGTGGGCCATGTTACCCAAATCACTCTTCCCTGCGATCACTGCTCTCCCAGGCAACCGCACCTATTTCTGGCTGAGATTGTCCCTTAATTACTATCCTTCATCTACCCGGGTTTTGATTGTGGCTTACATGTGGGTTATTTTCGCATGAATTGCTTTCCCTGGTTGCCTATGGAGGTTTCTGTAGGGTTGGCCATGTTCCCTGCGATCACTTCTCCCCTCCCGCCTCCGGCGCTGCAAATCCACCCGTAGCTCGCCACTGCCCACCTGCGGTGGCCGCCACGCCTTGCGAGACGCGCACACCGCGAGCGAGGCGTTTCGTGGCGCGCCAAGAGAAGCCCAAGGACCTGTTCTTTCCTGGGGGCCGGGGGGGAGGGAGGGGGGGGGGAGGGAGCTCAACTTAGCCCTAAATAAGGCCTTAAGGGCTCAATAAGAGCTTAGTTGGGCTCCCTCCCCCCCCTCCTCCCTCCCCCCCCAGCCCCCCCGGATTCTTCATGGATTTGTGTGCGTGTGCGGGTCTTGTGTGTGGTTTGGTCTTTGTGTTTGCGTCTGTATTTGTCTTTGTGGTTGTGTCTGTTGGGTGGGTGGGGTGGGGTGGGTGGGTGGGTGGGTGGGTGGTGGGTGGCTTGTTTGAGTTCGTTTTTGTGTTACAACCCGTTGCTTGCGTGTTTGGGCAGAGGCTCTAGCTGTTTGGTGTTGTTGTGGCCTCGCCCCCAATGAACGCGGCAGGGGAACAGCCTAGAGAAGATAATTTTGTATTTGCCGGACACTGGACAATCACAAGTAGACGCCCGAGATGTTCTGGCCTCATCAAGATCGAGAACACCGAGAACTCAACATCTTGTAGCCTAACCATCGGGAGACGCTCGCTTCAGGATGGTCTAATGGGAACTGCAAATATTCACGAAAGACTCACAAACCACCAGCAGCCTGTGAGAATGCGAATGCATTGGTGACAGGTAATGAACAAGTCTGCCCAAACTGACCCCCTACAAGTTAAAAACTAGTGGATCAAATGGAACCGGAAACCCAACCACTAAACAAACCAAGAACTTGTGTTTGCTGTAGCCCACGGCAAAAAAAAAACAAGGAAATACTATCAGTAGAGAAAACGATTCCTTTTAAAACCAAGAGGAGAAACTGAAAGAACATCTTCATTTCAGCACATAGACAACAACTGAACGCCCAAGTTGCACCGGAGGGTTCGCAGCATACGACGCGAGGAGCGCGAGCCTCCCCGGTGAACTTTTGGCCGCCCCTGAGGCCCTCGGGGAATCCCTCCAAGGGGTGGCTCGACCTGAAGGAGAAGCCGAAGGATTTCCTCAGCGCAGAGGTCGGAAGTCGGCCAAACGACTGGGATTGAGTTCTTGCGTTGGCTCGAAGCGAGTGGCTTAGGTGAATACCATGGTTCACCTTTTGGGGCCATGACTCAAAATGGACCAAAGTTGCAAAACCGAAAGGTCAAAAGGTCGGCTTTGGACAAGTGAGGGCTTGTTGAGTTGGCTTGAAGCGAGTGGCTTAGGTAAAAAGATGATTGGGTCTTCACAACGATGCAAAGATCCTGCATCCATCTCGGCTATAAGTAACTCAAGCCACAAGAAGCAGGAATCCCCAGGTGAAACACCCTTCATTGTTCTCATGTAAAGCTCGGTGAGCTTGCTGTAATCTGCCCAGATCAGTAAAATTTATATATTTGCACAACTAGGTCCTCCAGTAGAGAGGTTAGAATAAGGGAACCCTTTTCTCTGTAGTCTAGTTTAGTAGGGGAACCCTCCCAACCACAAACGGGTGAGAAAGGGCACTGGGGGACCTAAACAAAGGGTTCTCAAGCGTGAGCAAGGGCCCACCCGCAGGTGCCCTGTCTTAACTGCCAACAGGTATGGGGCTGTGTCAAAATAGGGCGCCCCCCCAAAGTGGGTAGTGTTCCTTTCGTTTGTGTTGAAACACCCAAGCACACCCATGCCTATGCCTGTTCCAATGGCAACCACATCCTGAACAAGGCATAGCTTCAAAACCGGCATGGCAAACAAAACATGAGGCTGCATCACGCAGTTGTCTACACACATAGACTACCCTTGTTGGATGCTACCCATTTTGGCGGGTAAGACACACCCAAACATTCCCCAATTGATGCACCAGCCGATACACTCCATGTAGGGCCCAAATGGCTCACATCCAGTTTGCACTACAGCAAGCAACCAGGGAATCATGTTTTGAAACCTGGAGGCTGCAAACAACACTCACACTTCCAACAATATACAAGCTGCAAACATTCCTGAACAACCAGATACTTGGATGTTCAACCAATAAGTAGCACCATGCTTTTGAGGGGACTGGCCGTTTGTTTGATTCTTTCCGGGTACACTTATGGTTAGGACTTACCAAGTGGACTGAGCGTGCCGGTGCTAATTAACCAGACACACTGATGCAAAACCATGGACAACCTGGACCCGGACCTTCTAAGGAGGTACTTAGACCCCTTTTTACCCCCCAAAAGCCATACTCATGAGGTACTTGGACCCTGTGGGGGAGGTAATAAACAAAACAACCCTTCAACAACACAAGGCAGGGCTGTGGGAAATGACCACTTCTGTGATACAACAAATTGGATTTCTCCAACCCTAACCCCCAATATAAAAAGGAAGATTCCCGAAGGTATCACAGAAGTGGGGATGTATAACCCCCTTGATCCCACCCGCACACAACAACCCTTCAACAACCTGGAGGTAATAAGCAAAACAACCCTTCAACAAGTCAACAACCTGGAGGTAAACAAAAAAACAACAACAACACTTCAACAACCTGGAGGTTAACACAAACAAAACAAAACTTAAACAACCTGGAGGTAAACAAAAAACAACAACAACACTTCAACAACCTGGAGGTTAACACAATCAAAACAAAACTTAAACAACATGGAGGTAAACAAAAAACAACAACAACACTTCAACAACCTGGAGGTTAACACAAACAAAACAAAACTTAAACAACCTGGAGGTAAACAAATAACAACAACAACAACAACAACAACACTTCAACAACCTGGAGGTTAACACAAACAAAACAACACTTAAACAACCTGGAGGTAAAAAAAAGACAACAACACCACTTCAACAACCTGGAGGTTAACACAAACAAAACAAAGCTTAAACAACCTGGAGGTAAACAAAAAAACAACAACAACAACACTTCAACAACCTGGAGGTTAACACAAACAAAACAACACTTAAACAACATGGAGGTAAACAAAAAAAAACAACAACAACACTTCAACAACATGGAGGTTACACAAACAAAACAAAACTTAAACAACCTGGAGGTAAACAAATAACAACAACAACACTTCAACAACCTGGAGGTTAACACAAACAAAACAACACTTAAACAACCTGGAGGTAAAAACAAGACAACAACAACACTTCAACAACCTGGAGGTTAACACAAACAAAACAAAACTTAAACAACCTGGAGGTAAACAAAAAAACAACAACAACACTTCAACAACCTGGAGGTTAACACAAACAAAACAACACTTAAACAACCTGGAGGTACAAAAAAAAAAGACAACAACACCACTTCAACAACCTGGAGGTTAACACAAACAAAACAAACCTTAAACAACCTGGAGGCAAACAACAAAAACAACAACACTTCAACAACCTGGAGGTTAACACAAACAAAAAAAAACTTAAACAACCTGGAGGTAAACAAAAAAACAACAACAACACGTCAACAACCTGGAGGTTAACACAAACAAAACAAAACTTAAACAACCTGGAGGTAAACAAACAAACAACAACAACACTTCAACAACCTGGAGGTTAACACAAACAAAACAAAACTTAAACAACCTGGAGGTAAACAAAAAAACAACAGCACTTCAACAACCTGGAGGTTAACACAAACAAAACAAAACTTAAACAACCTGGAGGTAAACAAAAAAAACAACGCTTCAACAACCTGGAGGTTAACACAAACAAAACAAACTTAAACAACCTGGAGGTAAACAACAAAACAACAACAACAACACTTCAACAACCTAGAGGTTAACACAAACAAAACAAAACTTAAACAACCTGGAGGTAAACAAAAAAACAACAACAACACTTCAACAACCTGGAGGTTAACACAAACAAAAAAAACTTAAACAACCTGGAGGCAAACAACAAAAACAACAACACTTCAACAACCTGGAGGTTAACACAAACAAGACACAACTTAAACAACCTGGAGGCAAACAAAAAAAAACAACAACACTTCAACAACCTGGAGGTTAACACAAACAAAACAAAACTTCAACAACCTGGAGGTAAACAAAAAGACAACAACAACACTTCAACAACCTGGAGGTTAACACAAACAAAACAAAACTTAAACAACCTGGAGGTAAACAAAAAAACAACAACAACACTTCAACAACCTGGAGGTTAACACAAACAAAACACAACTTAAACAACATGGAGGTAAACAAAAAGACAACAACAACACTTCAACAACCTGGAGGTTAACACAAACAAAACAACACTTAAACAACCTGGAGGTTAACACAAACAAAACAAAACTTAAACAACCTGGAGGTAAACAAAAAAACAACAACAACACTTCAACAACCTGGAGGTTAACACAAACAAAACAAAACTTAAACAACCTGGAGGTAAACAACAAAAAAGGAGAAAAACAACACTTCAACACCACAAGGCCACCGGACCCACAAGGCCCAAGACTCAGCAGGGGCGACATCACGTCGTCATTCATCGGCGCGTTGCTTTGCGGGATCTGCTGCTCGTAGTAGCCTTACCCCGCCCCAAAATGATATGCATATACCCTCCCACCCGGTGCTTTGGGATTTGAACTGCTCCTGCGGAGGGATGGGAAGCCCCTCCTATCCAAACCACCAATTGGATGGAAGCTGAATTACATGGTTGTGGGCCAAAACTAATGGGATCCCATTTTGGTTGGTAGGTGAATTCACCACCCGTTTTAGTACGGGATTTGACCCATGGCCACATTTTTGCTACTGTGGATGGACAAAAACCACTTCGCACCACCTAAGAAACCCTGGCTTCTGATGATTCCCCTGTAAATACCAGCAAACGTTATGGTTTCAACCATGGTTTCAAAGTGGTGCGGATCGGATGTCGTCCATCCACAGTATGTATACACCCTCCCACCGACTATTCTGGGTTTGTGCACAGGCCCCTGTAGAAAGACGACTTTCCTCTTCGAAACGGGGTTTGTGCACAAACCCATGTTAGTTGGTGGGAGGGTATATATGGGTATGGGTCAAAATTAAACCACCTGGGACCGCAGGTTTTGGTCCATGCTTCCATTTACAAGGCTCCCATTTTGGGGTTATTTTTGACCCACGCCTATATATATATATATACTAGGTCCTCCAGTAGAGAGCTTAGCATAAGGGTACCAACTTTTTCTGTAGTCTATTTTAGGGAACCCTCCCAACCAAAAAAGTTGGTGAGAAAGGGCACCTAGCTGGGGGACCTAGTATATATACACAGTTATTTTTGAAGGGGGGAGGCTACCACGTCGAAAATCAGGGCTGCTATCCCCTGAAGGTTCTGAAGCCTGGAAGTTTCTGGAGCCCTGAAAGCTGATATCCCCCAAGGAGCCTATCTGGGCAAAAACCCCATAGCTTTCAGCCGCTGGGGAATTCTGCGTGTGTATATATATATATATATGGATATATACATATGCATGATCCATGCATAAGTCCATAGATATACACATGACATGAGGATATCTATATGCCACATGGGATGCTTACACAAATTGGTTCTGGGGAAAAGGGCCAAGCATGGCTCCATCTATGATAATGTTTTTGAGATTTGAAAGGGACAACTTAGCGGAACGCCACCACTTCTCAGATGCTCAGTGGATTTGCATGGGGAAAAAATGGCATCCTTTTTTGGTTGGTTGAGTTTATAAGGGTTACTCAAAAAAGGAAAAAAGGGCCACTGGGCAACAGAGACTTAGGCCCCGGATTGTGACACATGTCGATTTAGTGGATTCCCAAGGTGTACTGATAAGTTTCTCAATGATGCCTTGCTTATCGTAGCATTGCTCATGCCGATGCATTTAGCTGTGGGGTTGTACCCCGATTAAGTGAAGAGACACACGGCCACACTTGGCAGTGGCTCAAAATTAAAGAGCCAGGGTTACGCAGGTTTTGGTCCATGTTTCCACTTACCGGGGCAAGCCATTTTGGAATTCCGGTTTTTTGAGCCACAGCCACTTTGATATGCCAACCGTAGGTAACATGGCAGCCTTCCGCGGTGAGTCAAGGAAGATCCACTCCCGTCAAGTTTCGGTCATCCTCAACTCAAAGTTCACGGAAGGGATCTGCAGGTGGTCCAGGTTTCCTCTTCCCTCCCTCAAACAAACCCCCCAAAAAAGGGTACGCTGAACAAAACATAACATAACACATATATATATATACATACATAGATGCATGTATAATTTTATGCATGTATGTACGCATGTCTGTATATAATAGTACGAGTAGCAACAATGGCAGCTAGCCATCAGGACACAAACCTTCAGGATGAATTTCTGGCCGCTGTTCACGTAAGCTCCACACCCGCGCTTCGGGCCCAGCCGCGAAATGGTCTTTGAGCAACTTCCCTGCCACGAAACTTGGTTGCTGCAACGACCCCCCTGCAAAAAGTGGATCACTTTTTGGAGGTTTAGTGGAAAACCCCTTGACTTCCCAAAAAGTCAAAGTCTAAAGATCCAACCCAATAGCAGTCAAGGAAAGCCCCACAAAGCCCCCAGCGGCGATTCTTGTTCGGTGAGTGATTCTTGTTCACCCTCCTCTTCAAAGATCCCCACCCCATTTTGGGTGACCCGGTGAGTGCTGTCTGACAAATTGGGATCCTTTCGGATGCGATCCATGATTCTTCTTTGGTGCAAGCCGGAACCCGTTGATTGGAGAAACCAGAGGCCGGAATTTCTACAGGACATTTCCCCAAACACCCACCGACAACGAGGAACACATGCCCATTTAGTGGATTCACAAGGCTACCAATGAGATCCCTTTACGAGTCTCTAATTCGATGGCCACCGGAATTTCTGGCAAAATTCCCAAACACCCACTAACAACGAGCACCTGCAATTTTTCCTGCTGCTTCTCTCGATCAGTTCATAGAATTTCCCGCGCCCTCGCGCCCTCGCGTTTTCGCCAAAGAGCCATCCTTCAGGCAGACGCCCAAGACATCCTGCGCCCCTGCCAGCTGTGCCGCAAAGTCGTCCACCCATTCCTCGCCAAGGTTGGTGGAGGCTTTGGGTGGTGTGGGGCGAGGGGGGGTGGGGGAAAACCGGTGCCTGGGCTTAAGGTGTGGTTTGGAAACCACCAGCTAGTACAATTTCTGCAAGTTGGCAATAAAGCAACCTAAACTGTTATCACTTTGAGAGGAACTTCTGCTTTCCGGACCCCCCTTGTGGTTTCCAAATGTTAATTTTTTGCAGGCGAGTAATCCACAAACTGGGAATACGCAGGATCCCTAGTGAGGGACCTTCATCACGCGTGAGCTCGTCATGAACTAGCCTGGGTTGCGAGTGACGACAGATTCCAACAGGGTCCAACAGCTTCCCGTTGTTTGGTGCTTTGGTGGCAAGTAACACCCTGCATTACGGCAAAGTGGAGAATCGCCTTCTCTCAAATACACCCCATAAGTGGGCCATGACTAGTCTCTTTCACATTTTTTTGGCCCGTGTCCTACCATCAAAGTAGCGATGAGGAAACACATCATGTGGTGTAGGGGTAACCTGGGTTTTAATACCCACTGCTGAAGGGCAACCTCATCAGCTGACTGGCCCTGGCATACCTTTCGTTGTGGCAAAACGCCAGCCTTCACCGAGGTGGTGCTTGTGGCTGGGTTAAACCTTAAAAAAAGGAAAACAAGACTTCAAAGAACTGGCTAAGGCTACTTTAGCTAGACAACCATTGTGCCTACTAACATAGCACCTGTGGGCAGAAATCCAAAGTCAACTCTCAGCATCCATAGCCCTCCCCTTTTTTCGCCATCTCCCCATCCCCATCTCCAGTTGCCCAAACGACCCAGAAACAAAATCATCTCCTTTTGGCGTCTCTAAAAATTGATCGGAATGAGAAAAACAAAAGGCAACTTCGCTTTGGGTCTTGGGACATATCAACATCTTGAAAGTCCCCAAAGTCCCCAACATCTTGAAAGGGGACACCCCCCCAACAGAATCAATCGGTTCCCGACCTATCCATCCCCTCTCTCCCCATCCACCATCCCCCAACCCCCCCAAACCCCCCCAGCCCCCAGCCCCCCAACCCCCCAAACCCCCAACCCCCTAACCCCCCCACCCCCCCAATCCCACCCCGCCCCACCCCACCACCACCCCACCACCACCCCATCTCCCCATTCCCCTCCCATCCCTCCCATCCCTCGGCTCCTGCTCAGATTTCACCTGGTCCCCGTAGCAGTACCTCGTGCCCGCCACGTCCCGCACCAGCGGACTCGCCTTGCCCATGCCCTTGGCCTGTCACGCGATTGCGCGAGAGACACGTGGCTGAGGTGTCTCGGTCTCAGTTTCCCAGGGACGTGGGGAAGTGAACAACTCTGGGCTGTTCAAAATGGCTTCTGTTGGCCTATCCGTTTTTCCGGAATCCCTATTGGTAACTAAAAGGTCAGCATCTTGCGGAGTGCCTTTGAACAGCCCAACAAAAATGACTAGGGGTTCAACCGCCCATTAATAGAATGGTTGACCCAATGTGGGATATTCGGACGATGACAATCTTGAACGATGAACTACTCAGATGCCCAGTGGCCACGGCAAAAAAAGGACACCTGCTTTTTGCTGGTTGGGTTTAAAGGGGAAGCCTGACCCGCAAAAGCTGAAACAAATTGGGCACCACTGGGCAACAGAGCCCATGGTGGGTAGATGAACGTTGTTTTTGAACGGCGGCAACTGACCCCCACTCAAATGATCGTCTTTCAACGGATTCTCGCCTGGGCAGCTTCCCTCTCTTGTGCAAAAAAACAGCTGCCGTGTTCTATTTTGATATGTTAACTAGTAAAGGCATTATTAGATAAATCAAGAAACACAATAGAACAAATAGTGATACTAATGATTTGCAAAGAATGGCATTATTATGCCAGGTGATCATGTATTACGTATGTGTACTGAATTAGATATGAAACACAGTTTTCTTCGGTGAGACCCGGGCCAAAAGGTACCAAGAGCCCCCCAGCGCCCGCCTGGAGCCCCTCCGTGGCGCAGCACCGCGGCGCGGAGGTGGCGGGCCGCCGCACCAACACCAGGCCGCTGTGGGAGGTCCGAGTGGCGCTGGAGCCTTGGAAGCGTCCGGAAGCGTCCCTTTTTTGGGACTGCGATGGAAACTGTTCTAGGGGTTGACTCCTTCTCCATTCTTTTCAACCATCGTGCCTTTCAAAAACCGGATCTGTTTCCCCTGGGTTTTTGATGGTTTCCTGAACCGGCTGTTTCCCCTGGGTTTTTGATGGCTTCCTGAAAAGATTCGGATCCCTGGAAAGAATGGACAAGGTACACCCTGAAACTGTGCGTTGCTTCCACTTGTTTCTAGTTTGGTCGCTTTCTAACACTGAAACCAGTTGAGACATTCCTTTTTTGAGGTTCTCTGTGGGGTAAGGGGACTTTATCGTGGATATTGTTGAGAACGAAACCAGCTGTCCCAGCTTTCATGGATGTTCCTTGTCCACAACTGGGGCTTGTCCTCTTACTTGCTGGGCTGACTATTCAGGTTTTGTCTAGTTTGAGCCAGGATCAACATATGGGTCTGTATTTTTTGAGGGTACCCTTCTTGGGGGTGCTTTTTAAGGAGAAACCAAAGGAATCCATTTTGAGGGGTCCCCTAACAAAAGAGCCACATGTGCGCGAAATGGACATGGGGAAAAATTAGAATGTCTGCACCCCCCCATGTCCATCCCAAATTGACTGTCCATATGAGCGTCCTTTTTGTTCAGGGTACCCTTTTTTGTGGTCTTAAAAAGAAATCCGAAAGTAACGCAGCTGCGCCATTTTGGGGAGGGGGGAGGGTCCGATTCCTTGACACCCATATGCAGAACTGTAGAAACACGCAAAACCTGTAGGGCGACAAGACTTCAAGCAGTTCATAAGCCATGGTCAAAACCAAGCAAAGGATCCGCTCTTTTGACCATGGTTCATATGTTGTGGTCAACGTTGGGCAGATTGCGATCCGCAAATGGGAAATAATTGGAATCTTTAAGCAAAGGACCCTCATTGGTGAGCTCATCTTGGTTTGGACATCATCTTCCAGATTGCAAGGAAGAGTTGGCTTGAAATGGCCCAGGTGACAGTCAATATCTATTCCGTGATGCTCAATGTCATCCGCTTGCCTACCGCAGGCCGTGGCTGTATCTTAAGACGGGGGCAACCCAACTTACATGGCTGTGTAAGCCTGGATTGCCCTTTAAATACACCCTGAAAACGGTACCCTAAAGGGAGCTCTGGGGCTCGTGAATCCAAGGTCCCAAGGTCTGGCTTTGAGTTGGGCTGGCATGGGTGTTGCGTGTTCGGGATGGAGTCAATTGGAGTGGTCGCATTTGCGTGGCATGAGCCGTGCGCTTTCGGTTTTGCCGAAACAAGTGAAAGAATCTCCTGTGTTCTTGTCTTCGGGCTGGATCTGGGATGCAAGGCTCTGAACTTTGAGGTGCGCTGATAAATCAGATGTTCCTCAACACAAGTATTAGGCTTGGAACTTTGATCTTTGGCCAGTCGGATGTTGGGGACAAAGACTGGAGCCCCTGCGGTTTGCGTTTGCTCCGGACTCCGGAGCCTTTGCGATTCATAACTGATGAAACTGGCTTTTCCCAACAGGGATCCGTGCCAATCAAGAAGCAACACGAAGATGAAGCAGATAGTCGTGGCAGCTGTCGCAAAAAGTGACTCAGCCGATGCGTCCGTGGGAAATTGTTTGAAAGCCAGCAACCGTGCAGCCGGGGAACCTTGGAGAATCTTTAGATCCCGCGCACCAGCCTTCCCGCTCCCGATGGCTTCCCCATTGAAAATGGACAAAAAAGGTCACGTGAAAGCTGTGACGTGGCCGACCATATACACCTCCCTGTTTCAAAGGTCGCTAGATTCCAAACAAACATGTCTAAGCCAGAATAACTCGTTGAGGTCCCTTCAAACTTGTTTCAGGGCATGTCATGCGACTGGTTTGGATTCGAGCTGTGAATCCACGTTGCAGGTCAGGCTGAGCATCTCAACTTGGGGAAAATTCGGGTAGCCCATGTCCAATCCAATACAACCACAGACTGGCACAAGTTTGTCCATTGTGCAAGGCGTGAATGAAAAAAAAGTGGGGCATACTGTCAAATCACAAACCCATAAACAATTGTCCCGAATCGGCGAGCTCGCAATACCAGCTGATGCAAATATGGGTGCTAAAATTGGGGAACTCCCAACAGATGTGGGCCGGGTTTCCCTTCAAACCACCTAAAACAAAGAAACATGACACGTATGTGTATATATGTATATATTATCATATTATGTGTATATATATAATCATCTATGTATATATAATCATGAATCTATCTATCTATCTATCTATCTATCTATCTATCTATCTATATATATATATATCACTATTTTGATATAGGCCCGCTTATATCGACCCAGGGGTAGTTGGTTCCGGGTTATTCTCCGCTGTGCTGAGCTGCCGCTGTTGCCGCTGATGGAGAGGGTGGTGATGGCGGCCGCCGCCTGGCGGAAACCAAAATACACCCAGGTCTCCCCAGCCCCGGGAAACCCCGGGCCTCCTGAACGCCCCAAACCACCACAGAAATCGACCTGGGCAGAGACCTCCTGGCTTTCAGCTGATGGGGAATAACAACGGGCTGCCATGTTCCTGCAGAACAACCATTCAACCAACAACCACTAACCAATCAGAGCAAGTCAAGGCAACATATCCCCTGCCACCTGACTCTTCTTCTAACCATCCACCGAATTCCTGTCGCAAAAAAACTGTAACACTGTAGCAGCAAGACCTCCAAAATTATCCTTTGGGCTTCTTGGCAACCCCTCCAAATGGAAACTTCTGTTTGGTGGACCCCGCAATATGGCTTCGGTTCTCCTTTGGGATTACGTTTCAAAACCCACCAGAAAAGGCTGGTACCCAAAAAGATATGACTCAAATGTATGTCCTGAAACAAGGAATCCACCACTTGCACAACGCATCATTCCCCCCGTTGCAAAGAAACCATCGCTGGAAGGTTTGGAACAAAAAGGTCTCAATGAGGCAACATGATTCTTGGCAAATTTGTACACCCCTCCGCTCGAGCAAAAAAAAAAAGATAAACAAAAAGAACAAAACTCGAACCCCCCCAACAACAAAAAAACAAAAACGGGCTCGTCTTTCATCCTGTGGTTTTTAGGGGCGCCTAAAGAGGGGACCCCCCCACGAAGAAGGAACCCTATTAGCCCGTCACCATTAGTCCCCATTCTTGGTTGACGTTGGAAGGGGAGCAACAAATTAAACTTTAGCAGTTAAGTGGGGATTTCCCACTAAACCACGAAAAGCAAAAATGTAAAATGGTTCCCAACAACAACCATGTATTGGGATTGTTTTTTTGGGGGGGGGAAGGAGGAGCCCTTGGCAACCATACGAGTTGAGGGGGCCCCGCGCAACAAGACCGCAAACATTTTTAGTTCTTACACTCGACAAAAAAAGACACTGATACAGTGGGCAAGTCATTGGGGGGACTGGGACCAAGAAGGGACCGAACATCCCAGCGGATGCCTGTGACGGCAGCAGGCCCACCATGCCCAGCAACTGGGCGAGTGCGGGAAGCAGAAACGCCAGTGGTGCGGTATCCTTGTGCCAAGCCTCCCCTGAAAAGTGGCGCCCTTGACCTGACTGAGCCAAGCCCCCCTGAACAAAAGAAGCTCCACTTAAGTTCCTTGCCTCCTGAAAGCAAATCTTTGGCACTGCCTCAACTCTTGCAGAGCCCAAACCCGAAGGTTTATCTTCAGTCCGAAGTGGAACACCAGACGCACGGCTTCTGGTCCCATCGTCTCGAGCTCCCCAGCTCTACTTCCCCAACACCTCTGGCCAGGTTTGGAAAAAATCACACGCCCGGGTTGAGTCCAAAAATGGGATGGATCACGCAGACACTACTCCACCTCCCTCCTCAAACTGGATAGCTCAACCAACCCTCTGCCAAAAAACACAATTCCTGCTGTTTAGTGGGAAATCTCATCATTTCTCCAAACTTAAAGTCTAGAAATCCAACCGAATCGCAAAGCATCGAGATTTGTTTCAGGTCCCGGCCAAGCCTTGAAATGGGCGGCAAAATTTTGAGAGCCAGGGCGCCGGCTTTAGTCTACTCCGTTTACTTCAGTGTGCGAGCTCCCCAGTTTTTCTAGCAAATCTTGGTTGACGTTGGAAGGGGAGCAAAAAATTAAGTTTCAACCACTAAACCACAATAAGCAAAAATGGGAAAAATGTTTCCCAACAACAACCATGAAATGGTCACAGCGGAAGCTGAACACGTCATGCCTTGTGACGCAGCTCCCGACCGCCCCAAAGATCGGACTGCTCTTCGCTCTCGAAGAGGCAAAGAGCAACACAAGAACACAAGTCCGCGAATTCTCGTGGAACCCTCCCTGAAAGCTTGCCCAAACCACCCCAGAAATCGCATGTCTGCTTGGTTGCTCTTGATCCCCCTGCAAAAAGTTTAACTTTTTGGGGGTTTAGTGGAAAACCCCTTGATTTCCAAAAAAAAAAGTCTAAAGATCCAACCCAATAGCAGTCAAGTCTGGGCCTATGGACCCAGCTGTTGGGGTGAATGAACCACAAACTGTAAAGAGATTAAGCTCCTGGTGTTAACTTATCTGCTTTCCCATGGGAACCAGAATTTCCGCGGGGGTAAACATCTCAAAAGAAGGCCAACAACAAATCCCCCAGCTCCCGCCCAAAGGCCTTGTTACCTAGATTTGAACGGACCGAAACGCCAAAGAACTGAAACATCCATTGCAACAATGTTTGTTTGAGGATCGGAACAGCTTAGGGGCTTTAAAGGGAAGCCCAAAAAAGACCGAAGCCAGTTTGGAGACATCCCCTTCCTTTCCCCCCCCTACCTCCTCCTCTCCTCCCACCCCCCCTTCCCACCTAGGTCCTCCAGTAGAGAGGTTAGAATAAGGGTACCCTTTTTTCTGTATTCCATTTTAGGTTGGAATCCTCCAAAAAAGCTGGGTGAGAAAGGTTGCGCCTCGCGGGACCCATCCGCCCCCCGTCCGCCCTCTCCCCCCCCAACCCCCAACCCCTCCGGCCTGGGCAACGCGCCCCACTGCAGCGGCCGAGGCGTCTTCAGTCGCTTCCTGCTCCGCCAAGTGCCCTCCAGTGCTGAGCCACGCGCCTTCCGCGAGGGCAGGGCAGCGCCAGGTGTCCTGGTGGGGAAAGGGAGGGCCCGCAAAGCCCCAGGGTTTGGTAGGAAGTCCCTGAAGGCTTTGAGGGTTTCTTGGGGTTCCTTCAGCTTCCTTAAAGTTGCTTAGGGTGTCTTAGGCTTCCTTAGGTGCCTTGGGATTCCTTAAGGTTCCTTCATTGGGGTTCAGTAGGGTTCCTTGAGCTTGTTTAAGGATTCCTTGAAGGGTTCCTTAATTGGGGTGCAGTAGGGTTCCTCAGTGGTTGCCCCAAACCAATGCACCCCCAGCGGGAAATTGGACATACACTCGCTATATAGTTGTATGCCCCTCGATGGCTACCACCCAACCGAAGAGTGGATGCCCCTAGCATGTTGCAAGTTAACCATAAACCAAGAGGAACATGGTAAGATACAATAAGCTTGCTCTCTTACTTGCAATATTTGGGCATCCACCGTACTTCCAAAAGTCTGATGGGAAATACACCCACCAGGCCACTACAGGTATACCACCCTAGGTCCTCCGTCTCCGGGTCATTTCTCTGCTTTTTCTGTTCTCCGGACTATTTCCAGGAGACTCTGAAAACTAGGAGTTTCAGGTGTTTCAAATGCATGAATCAGAAAGCAGGAGTGGCTTGCAAAAGGCAGGAGTGAAAGTCAACAATTAGGAGTGGTTCTGGGAAAAACAATTGGAAACAAGTCTTGTTGTGTGTTTTGCATTTTTTGGACCCGCAGTTATACAACTCTGTGCACTATCCCATGAATCATACAACTCTGTGCACTCGAGTGGATATACCGCTGCTTTTCTGTAATTTGCGGGAGTTTGCCGGTTCTTGCGGGAGTCTGCGGGCTGTTTGCGGCTGTTTTTTGCCCTGAGTGTTTTGGGTGTGGTGCTTTCCGGTTTTGCCAAGTCACCCAAAGGCGCAAATCCCGAACATTTTTTGATATCTGAATGATTGGTTCTGATTCCTGTGAACGATTCTGCTCGTGATCTGAATGAGAGGGCTCCTTCTGTCAAGTCCCGATATGCGATTTCTAGGGGTTTCAGGCGTGCAAAGCATTTTCCAGGAGTGACAACTGATTTTCTAGAAGCTTTACCTCAAAAACTAGGAGTTTAGAAAACTCTGTGTTTTTGCACTCTGACCGTTAATAAAAATTGTATCTCCGGATTTTATGCTAAATTTCCATGATTTGGAAGATCCAGGACCATTTTCAGAGCAGGTTTGGGGGTTGTGGACAAGCTAAATAGAAGGGTGCTTTTGCAGTTTGTACCGTGGATGGTGAGTCTCTGCCCCTTCCCGGCAAGTTGCTATAGATTGCCAGTTTTGTATACCTTTACCAGCTACACCATGGTCGGAATATTTTGGGATCTCAAGTTGAACCTAAGAATGCTCCAAGCCGATTCATTCCAAGACCCGACCCCAAGCAGATCCCGGGTTTCGGAAGATCTAATTGGCACTACAGGACTGAAAGGATCGGAAACTTGCTCCTGGGAAACTTGCGCTTGGCCATCAAATGGTTGTCCTCACACTAAGGGAGTAAGCCTAGAGTCTCCATGACCCTTAAAAAATGGTTGGTCATTACCCAAAATTCAGGGGTCATGGACCCATTTTTTAAGGGTCATGGAGACTCTAGGAGATTAGAAACCGACACCTATAGGAGTCCGTTGTGGGGGGATACTGTGGATGGACTAAATCCTGCACCACGTTGACACCGTGGGAAACCTGTATTTGTTGCTATTTACAGGGGAATCATCAGAAACCAGGGTTTCTGAGGTGGTGCGAAGTGGATTTCGCAACCATCCACGTTCCATGAAAATAGATGACCCTGGTATGGCTTCTCTCCAATCACATGGAACTGTGAAGTTGGCTGAGGGATGACTCTCCCAAATTCAGATGATTTTCATGAGTTGCATTTTGAGCAGTTGTTCTCTGTTTTCCCAGCCCATGAATGACCCACATATATGTGGGGCAAGATAGTGGTCCCCTAAAATTGTTTTCTGTTAGTTCCCCTTGAAATACGAAAGGGGGTCACCATTTTGAGAACCCCCCGCCCAACAAACCACGTCTTCTTCCGAGGGCACCTTTGTGGGGTGGTTCAAAAGGGACACGAAAAGGAACACGAGGGATCTTTTTAAAGCCCACTGAGAGGACTTCAAATGGCATCAGCGGCATCGATTCCGATCGGCTCTCCGGAGGGCCCTGGAACTGCGCGAAGACATCCACCTGTCTCGCCAAGGTGGACCCCGCAAGACAGCTGCGGTACTTACAACTTGTTGGTTTCAACAGGATTCCATTTTTTGACTACCCCAAGGCAGACTTAAACCCAGGGGTGGGTGATTCCCCCAAAAGGCAAACCCCTGGGTTTGAGTCTACCCCAAGATAGTCAACGAAAGAAACCCTGGGTTTCAAACCTACAACTGCTGAAATCCATCCAGTATGGTACATGGCTCTTGTTGAAACAGGGGGTGGTGATAAGTACGGCATCATTGGACCACACTCTGGCACGTAAGCTGGCAGTAAAGTGGCTTATCTTCTGCTACAAACAACAACTTGTGGAACAGACCATCGCATGCTTGCCGCAAAGTGTCTGCAAGGCAATCTTTACGAGTTTCAAGTACGTGCAAGTGACATTCCCATTGAAAAGCACAGGTGATGTGGCCGATGCTTGCATGAAGCGCCAACCGCAACAGGGGGTTTTGTTTGCGTACAGTCTTGAATTGGTCTTGAGGGGCCCGGCAAACCCCGTGCTCCTTCGAATGCTCTGTTGGTCGCCGTTGGTTTTTTTTGCCGCGTGCGGGGTTTGGGATGTCAGTCAGTCAGCTGTTGCTTGACCCGAGGCTTCCGTGCTCAGGCTCGGGTTGAGGGTCTCGGGAAGCCCATTGGTACCCCACACCCTCTAGTGAAGACTTCATGAAGCTCCTTTTCCCGCTGAAGGCAAAATGAAGCCTTTTTTTCGCTGAAGGAGGCATAGCCGCAACTATCCGCCTATCCGCAACTGTCACAATTTTTGGTCACCCATTTTGACAGGCGGGAGCCTGGCCCTCATGTTGATCAACACATCTTTCCTAGCATCATTGTCTCCGAAGTTACCGAACATGGATTCTTACTATATTCAAAAGCACCGGTGCAAAGTGCAGAGCATGTCTGTGACTCCGACGTTGACTCCGTCCTTTCGCCCGCAAAAAAAACAGCCCCACGCCACCTACGCAAGGGGGTCTGCAACAAAATATGTGGGCCTGGGTTTTTGACATTTCGATCTCGTCCGCCTAGTTTCGAACAATTGAATCAACAACTCGGCACCTTGCGACGGATGAAAACGCAACTCACCTTCGGAACTCGCTGGGATCAGTTGTGTCCCGTAACTCACTTCTTGAGTGGACTGGCCAAGAAAGATCAAGCTTTTTGTTTGCCACTAAAATGGTCCAGACCCAAAAAGTGACTAAAACCCAGGACCTCAGGAAGCTTTTGGTAAAGGAGAGCAAATGGAGCCAACGACCACCTGCAGTTTGCCCCAGCTTCATGTTGAGCCAAAGAAGCCAAGCATCAACTAAAAACTTTCTGCTCGCCCAAATGCTCCGAGCCAAAAAGCTGCCAGTCCACGGCAAAAGCGAACTTGGGACCCACCAAATCCACCCATTTCGCCTCTGGCAGGTACGCCCTGATGAAGGTGAGCACGTCCAGGCGGGTCAGCTGGGAGGGCGAGGATCTGCCGGGGTCCAAGGCTGGAAGCTGGAACCCACAAAAACGAGCCAGCAAAAAAGAAGAAGTCGGAGTTCACCCAGGAACCATTTAAGTTTGGAATCCAATTTCGCAGGTTTTAGTCTTTGGTTCCATTTCACCCAGGAACCATTTAAGTTTGGAATCCAATTTCGCAGGTTTTAGTCTTTGGTTCCATTTCACCCAGGAACCATTTAAGTTTGGAATCCAATTTCGCAGGTTTTAGTCTTTGGTTCCATTTCACCCAGGAACCATTTAAGTTTGGAATCCAATTTCGCAGGTTTTAGTCTTTGGTTCCATTTCACCCAGGAACCATTTAAGTTTGGAATCCAATTACGCAGGGGTTAGTCTTTGGTTCCATTTCACCAAGGAACCATGTAAGTTTGGAATCCAATTACGCAGGGGTTAGTCTTTGGTTCCATTTCACCAAGGAACCATTTAAGTTTGGAGTCCAATAACCTATATGTGGCTCAAAATTAAAAGGCGAGGGTTACGCAGGCTTTAGTCTTTGGTTCCATTTACCAAGGTGAGCCACAGCCAAATCAAAGTTTTGAGGGTTTAGGTCGAAAGGATTCGTCTGTGGCTTGGCCCTGAAAACGAATCCCAGGTCGCCAAAAAAGACTCGGAAGGGGCCACATCCGGCGAATTGCGGTTCTGCAACGAGCCGGTGTGGCGACATGAGGTCGATCTGGCAGATGGCTTTGTCCTCCTATGCGTGGAAACTGCGGCAGAAAGGGCACCCAAAGTCTTTGAGCTACAGATAGTCGGGGCTCTTCCCCCCGCAAGTTGGGTGTACACTAAAGCACGGGGGCACAGGGGCTGCACAATTCCTCCTTTTTGGTGGAAAAAGAAACAGGGGGGGACACTATTTTACGAGTAAACAAGCTCCCACAGAAAACGCGAACATGGATACCACTCCCCCCATCGACGGGGGACAATAATAGCCACCCTTCTAGCCTTTACGGGAACTCCATCAACGACGCCTCGCTTGCTCGAGCAAGGGCTTCACGGTGGTTTTGCGTCGGGAGGGTCGCTCCAACTGGCACAATCACAGGACAGATTGTGGATGAAGGACAAGGAAATAGTGAAAAAGAGGCAAAATAAGCCAGAGTAAAAACATGGAATTTCAGTTGGCTTTCCTGACATTCCTTGTAGCCACATCAGCAGTCACTGGAATGAATGCAGAGCTCCAACCTGGGGCTCAGTGTCGCGCTGGAATGGCTTTCATGTGCGGAACACATTCATTCTCGGCTGCTTTCACCATAGACCCATCAGCTCGAGGCGGGGAATCCTGAATGACAAGACATAATAAATTGAAACTAAACATGTCCTGATAAGCAATTGATTCCCATTCCATTCATCAAGACCTAGAATTCCAGGATTTACACATTATACAAGATCTCAATCTAACTGATATTCTGCACAATTAATGTTGCCTAGAGCTTGAAAGGAGCGAAAGAATAGAGTGAGGAGTGAAGACCAGAATGGACCCAGAAATAAACGGTGATCACCTTTGGGTGCCTCAACTAGAAATGGGGTTCCCAGTACAGGGGCTAAAAGGTCGGACATTCATCGCACCTCACAAGCAACAGTGCAGCCAAACGTTCTCTCTGAAAGTAGTCCCCCAATCACCGAACATCTGCTTCAACTTGCGGCACATCGCCCTTCATCTTCATGTGTATTCTTGTGCTAGAACAAGCTGACAAAAGGTTCTTGACCAAAAAATAGATAGACGTGTCCCTATCCTTCTTTCACACCTAAACTTGTGTCTTGTCCAATCCATTCTGTAGCTAGACGCGGGCTACAGAATAGTCCACTGTCAACTGAACGGAAGAGAACTGGATTGGCTCTGGGCCCTTCCCTTCATTCGTCTCTGTGGTCGACTGCCCTTGAACGAACAGAAGGATGGAGACTCCTTCCTTTGCTTGGTTTCTTTCCGTCTCTCTTGGTCATTCACTTCTCCCAGGATTCTCTCACGGAAGCAGATACGCTTGGCATTCTCGGCCCTACCAAGACGAAATGTAAGGCCCCAATACTTCGAATGGGGTTGAGGGCCACTTTGAAACCAAACTCTGGTCATGATTTCCAGGAGAATGACTTAGCCCTCATCACCAACTCTCAACAAAAACGCGGAGGCCACCGCTGTTTCTTCTTGGAACCTTTGCCAAGATCGACATAACTTTCCAAGAGATGTATGACTCACTTGCCCCAAAGGACCTGGAAATAAAAGGCTAACCGTTTGGGACCTCGACTAAAAGTAGACCAAAAAGGGAAGACCAAAAGGTCAAAAGGTCGCCTTTGAACAACTGAGATGACCCTACCAGGAACTTAAAGCGTATAGCCATAAAAGCCAAGATAAAGGCTAGTACGGCACCAATTGGCTTTGGCATGCTGTGGCTAAAGCAAAAGTTACCCAAAATGGCACCTTGGTAACTCACTTCCTGAGTGGGCCCAAAAACGTCGAAATGCTTACTCACCAGTAAAATGGTCTCCCCAAAAAGTTTATGGTGCAAAAACTCAGGGAAAGAGCAAAGGGAGCCAAAGGCGAAAAATCGCGGTCCGCCCCAGCTTCATTCTGAGCCAAGGGACCCGGGTCTCGGCCGCGTTTCAGCTTCCCTCCAATTGGTTTGGAGCCCGGTGGTATCCGGTGCTTGAGGGAGGGGTGCCCATCTACCCTCCACCCTCCACCAGGACATTCGCCCCAAACCAATCACGGCCCCAAACCAATCCAAACTGCCCTGAGCATTTGAAAAAAAAAGCCGCGGCTCCTCGCTGTACCAAAGGTCCAACGTCTGGGTCCCGGGGAACTTGAAGTGGTTGCACTCCTCTCAGTCGGGCAAAGCACAGCTGACCCAACGAACAACACGGCAAAGCCGCCTGGAACCATATTTAGCCACTTGCCCCGTATTTTTGGAACCCGGAAATGGGACTTGATCGAAAAAAAAAATGGCACCTCTACTAAAAATGGTGGCCGGAATGGGAAGACCAAAAGGTCCAAAGGTCGGCTTTGGGTCACTGAGATACAGAGCAATTTCCCAGGTGAAATTCCATGTCAGAGCGTGCTACAAAACCCCACTTAGATTGGCTCGGGCAGGCACCGGACCCCAGCAAAAAGGCACCCAATGCAAGCCGATGTTTGGCGAGCTGTCTTAAAAATTATGGCGCAGGGTGTCGCACAATCATTGGGGAAAAAATAGCCGTACGCTGGACATGTTGGCTGCTAGATATGTCCACATCAACCCAATGTGGTTTCTGAATGTATAACAACATGTTCACTATCATCTATGGAAAACCTTGGGGGGAGAACACAGTTTCAAATTGTTTCAAACTCTAAAACTTGAGGCCCCAAATCTGGAAATTCATCATGATGGGTTTCCTGTTGCCTGTTCCCGCGCATGGCGGTCAAACCTAAGATGGCTATGTGGCTAGTGCCCCCTGCACAAGAAAGAACGTAAAACATGACCTGTTGCTGGTTTGTGGGGAAACACACATTTGTCCCAACAAGCGGAAAAATGCCCGAAACAAATTTGGAGCCCTCCAAGTTGCAAATACCACAGGCCAAGCAACTGCTCCTGCCAGCACTCCGATACAATGCAAACAACAATGCCACTCTGCAACTTTGAATCATTGGAACCCCACAAGGGAGGCCTGTTGAAGAGGTCTACAGATTGACTTCTGAGTGCCATTAGGGCTGGGAGAGAGGGGAGCCCAAGTGTGGGTCAATGATGGCTTCTTTGGGTTCCCTCCCTCCCCCCCCCCCAACCCCCATGAACTACCTGTGGCAAACAACAACCACAACATTGACAACCTGCGTTGCAAACAGCTGGTTGCGCAACGGGCAATAGCCGCTCCTTTGCCAAACACTTGATGAAAAGGGAACTTGCCACACCCTGCAGGGTGCAGTTTAAGTACTCATCCTGTTTGTTGCTGCGAGTTTTGAAGGTTGCCGAACCATTGCCACGGAGTCCGCGACAACTGCTCCTTACCCACCCCCAAAATCAAAGGGCCTTCGCTCCATACTGTTGAGCCCGTGCAGAAAAATCGATACGGGCAAACAGGCTTTGGGCCGCAACTGAGCATCAGCGCCCGACGCAAAACCATAGAAGCAGAGAAAAGAGGGCCGGTAGGCTCCAGCACCTTTGTTTGCCGATGAACGCTACTGGCTCCTGTCCATCCAGTGCTTCCACTGCCTGGAAGATGCCTGCAACCACAGGACAAACAAACACCGATCACGCCGATCATGCGCAAATCACCCGGAAACGAATGCCCGCTCTGCAGATCTGTGCAAACTGATTGACGAGCCGACGGCGAAAGACTGTCTTTCCAACCAGCAAAGCGGCCCAAACGTTGACAAGATACCCTCGGCTGTCTGTGAAAAACTGGCGCGGGCGTTGACGCCGAACACGGTGCGAACATTTTTTCCATCCGGGCGGCTTCGAGTTGAGCATAAGCATGCCCCCCTCCCAGTGTCAAGGCGATGTTGGAATAGCTTGCGAAACGCGCCGGCTGGACCAGCTTGGCGTTTGTTGCCAGAAGGGCCTAGTCTGGCCTGACGCGGCAAACCTGCGCTTGGTTTGTTGGCTGCGCGATGCTGGCATTTTCCGGCCGGCCGCGCCCAAAAGAGCAGAAGTTGGCGCAAGCGAGCGCGCTATTTCTTTCAATCGCCTGGCTGCGTGCAACTCGGGAACATGCTCCGCCAAGAGCGTGCTGAGTTGCAGATCAAGGAAAACTGCGCGTGCGCTGCGCACACGCTGCCCGTGCGCTGCGCGTGCATTGCGCTACTGACTTACGCGCGCGCGCGCCTAGTGTTTGAAAGTACGGCCTCAACAAACTCCTCTGTCCTGAGTACCTCGCGGCAAACGCCCTGTTATATGACCTTGCCAACCAGAAGGAAGCCTGATTGAGCGACTTGCAGGTTTGTCTGTTCCAGTTGCGTTGCAAGAATATGCGCCGAGGCTGTGAGCAGCACACCAAAACGAGAGAGATGCCCTATCAGCTGCAAAGGTGCAGAAAGTTCATTGGAGAAAACCTCTGGGGCTGTGAAACAAGAATCAGTCAGGGGTGCATACTCTGGGTTCAGCATAACTAGGTCCTCCAGATTCGAGAGGTTGGAATAAGTTGGTGCCCTGTTTTTCTCCCAAGCGCTTGTCTTAACTCATGAACACAATCCCGACCCCTCTAGGTCCTCGAGGTTAGACTAAGGGTACCAACTTTTGTTGGTTTATTTTAGTAGGTTGGAACCCTCCCAGCCAAAAAAAGGAAGAAACGGGTGAGAGAGAGCGGGCAGGCACCAAGCTGGCTGGGGGACCTAGTTTAAGACCAGACAAACAGCTTCCCTCAACATGAGCGTTAGATGAATAAGGTTTCTGGAAGCTGGGAAATGAAAAGGACGGCTTGCTTGCGGAAGTTGGGACGAGAAGGCCGAAGGAGAGGCGCACTTTCCATAAGAAGTGTTGGTTCCAAGCGTGGCGTTGCAAATTGATTCAAGAGGCGTCCCCCAAATGGGCGGTTTTCAGGGTCCCCAAAAAAAAGAATGCAGAACCCATGTCTGGGTCGTTTGAATCCACATTAGGGCACAGAATTGTTGGCCTACAAGCCTACATGCAGAGGTTACCGTTGACTCGCTTCTTGGGCCACCAGCTGCTGCTAAGGCCCCAAGCATGGGCCAAAAGACTCTATTCGACATCATCGATAGGCTCAAAGCACATTGGGTCAAGGCTTCAAACAAATGGGCTGCGTTTGGATGCTACATGATTGTCAAGCTTGCAGCTACGTTGCCCGAAAGGGTGCAAGAGATCGATTCGGAAGCATTGCCACTAGATCCGCACGGCAAAGGCATGCGAAGAGCCAGTGCTCCAAAAGGCGCCAGAAACTTGGTCAGTTTTCAGGGAACACCAAACAGACCTTCTACCAATCCTCTACCCAGGTGGTTCTTGAGATTGCCTAGGTTCGGAGCAACACGGTCACCACCTTGCCTGTTTGCCGAAGAGGTGTCGCGCTTAGTTGACTAGTTCAGCTTCCGTAACTGGTTGCTAGTTGCAGGGTGTGAATCACCAAAACACAATCCGGGCTGTCCTCAGATCCCCTGCTAACAGTTTAACTTTTGTGGGTTAAATACGAAAACCCAACCACTGAACCATCGCAAAAAGGCTCAAAAGCTCAGGAATGCCGGGCTTCTATGGAGAAAACCTGCAAACATGGCAGAGACGATGGATCCTACCCAGCGAATTTGTCCCCGCGATCGTGAACAAATGGCATCTCGCTCCAGGATCTTCACGCACTGTTTCAACCACATGAGTCACATGAGTCCAGAAAACAGGGTTTCCATCTTTTTTGGGGGTGGTGGAAAACCTCGGGCGCCTTATAATTAACTGCCAAGACGCATTGTTCATACGGGTGAAGCCTTCGGACCTTCGGAGCTTCGGAGCTTAGGGACGTTCGCCCGCCTGCGCTCAATGCGCCCAGAGTCGACACGGGCACGGCCTTCAAATCCATCTGCAGGCACCGCGACGCTTGGCCGGGCCTCCTCGGAAAACGGAGGCCAGGGGAAAAACCGAAACTTTTGGAGGACTTGGTCGGTAGGGAATGCGAATTGGAGGGGTCCCGGTTGGATGGTTTATTGGGGTCATTCCATTTCTCATTCTCTGCTGAGAACCAGCAGAAATTGCTGGTTCTCAGCAGGGAGTTAGACATGGAATGAACCCTAGAAGAACCATCCAACTGGTGGTTTCCTTCAAGGGAATCCCAAAAGGTTCATTCCCTCATTCCCTACTTATCGACCAGCAAGAAAACGGGCTCGTGGCCAAAGTCTTGGATGTGTGCGGAATCTGCAGACGATTCGTTCCGTGTGTGTCCGAAGGTAAAGGCAAAAAGGATTCGCTCGGAAAACGGATATCCCCCTCGACCAGGGGGTCCTGGGTTTCCATTACGCTGAAGGTTCGCAAGCGCTGACTTGGAACCGCATAGATACTGCAATGGCCAGACCTGCAAATCCCCTGCCCAAAAAGAATCTTCGGGGTTGATCACCTGTACCACGCTACGCAACAAACAAAACGGGGGGGGTGAACCCTTTTTACGTACACAGAACCCCTAGTGTTTAAGCAGAACACCACTGCAAGGAATCCGCGTTGACCTGGCAGACTGAGCTGGCTGGCTCTGGCTTGACTAGTGATTCCTATGGGATTCCAGAGGAACTCGCCTAGATTTCCCACAACACAACTGGCAACGAACTCACCGGTGTCACAATTTCAAAACCTGGTATTAAAATTTGCCTACCCAAACCAATGTAAAAAGGACTGCAAGGGCGGATCTGGTATTAAAAGTTGGCCTGCCCAAAGCTTAATGTCAAGAACTACAAAGGCGGATCTCCGCAATTCTGGCGAGGGGGTCAGCTCTCAACCGATCGCCCGAACTGGTTTTGACGCTCACTTCAGATTCAGTGCGTTGGCCAAATGGCTTGCCGCGACCTGTTCGTTTGTTCACCACTAAAATTTGGCTTGGCGCGATAGGGAAGGTGGTGGAATGAACCGGCCCACAGGAAACCACCAGTGGGATGGGTTTAGTTCGGGGTCATGTCATGAGCCATTTCTCATTCCCTGCATCTCTCGCACCAGAAAGATGGTCATCCCCAAAATCATGGGGGCTGGGGAAGAGGGAGGGGGGGGGGAGGGAGCCCACCCTAAATTTGGGGCTTATTTGGGCTCCCTCCCCCTCCCTCCCCCCCAGCCCCCATGACAAAAAGTGTGCCAGGGAATGAGATGCGATCTACTGCGCCTGGGACAGGGCACCCAGCCCCCGACTCTGAAGCCGAAACGTTTCTCAGGCTGCTTGATGTTTCCCTAGTCTTTCACCGCAAGCAGGCAGAGAGTCAGAACGTTGCTGAACGCAAAGCACACAGTTAGGATGCGGTTTCTTCAGAAGCATTCAATGGTACTGGCTGGAGCTAGTCTTCTTTGTGTGAAAGTGGTTGATGCAGCTCTCCTGTGAAAACTCTAAACCACTTGGATGTGGCAGACTTCTTAGGTTTGATTATTTTGTGTGCCTGAAGTCCTTTTTTTCTTCTTCGAATATCTTCCACAAGTCCGCCTTTTCAAGAGAGGGGATACCAAACAGGACCCGGCTGATTTTGACAACCCCACTGAGCTAGCGTCAACACTCATTGGATGCCTTTTCTGTAGATACGATGCAACGGATAGCTGCAGTCTGAGCAGCTCGATCTGCACTGCAAGGGCTTCGCCCATGTTCACCGCCACTGTGACCCGGGCATTGTCCACATCTTTCCTGAGGACAAAAACCAAGCTCTCCTCTCAGGTTCAGTTACCACCCTTACAACGATGGTTGGGTGAATAAAACCAGCATTATTTACCTAAGGGGTCAATAATCATGGGGGTGGAATCCCAGGGTCTCTGCAGTATGCACCAACTCCCTTCTTTCCATGCACCACTGACCTGATTGGCTCCGTGCAGTCTGTGTCTATGCTTGTGTCTCCGGCTCGGGCTGTGTTCCTGCTTGAATTCGTGTTTGTGTGATTTCCCTCCTGGTTGCGCTTTTGAGGGTACCCTTGGGGTAGCCAAATGGAAACTAAGTTTGTTGGGGCCCCCTATTTGACACATACCTGATGAAAAACACTTGCATAGGCTATAGTTTTTTCTCCTTGCAAACCGTGAGCATCAACCAATCGAAAACGAGAGGCCTCAGCATTCTGAACTCATGGGCGAATTTGGATATGGGTAGATCCTCTCTCCGAAAGAGTAGAAGACACCACTACAAAGTCAGCTTGTCAACAGGGAATAAATTAGGAAATCAGCATGAGGGCGAGGATCCTACCAATCTTCAGATCTACAAGCTTCAAATATTTTGGCATTTCCCAAATGCTGAAAACAGCTATCAACAAAAGGGCTAAGGATTCACAAATTCAGAAAGGCATGCGGGTTTGTCTGAAAATAGGGGGCCTTGGTCTCCTCTAAATCTCCTCAAACAAGCAATCAAACACATGTTGGAGATGTTGGACATGGGTGAAAGTGTTCCGCCTGGTTTCTTGAACCCTCCAAAAAGGGGGTGAGTACACAAGTCCTAGCTCGAGAATCCATGCATCCTTCACACACACAACCATCTAGGTGTGTGTCAAATTGGTTTGATCCCGAAAGTTTCGGTCTTCCTTATGGTTGCTGTTGACCTCTCTGCAAAAAGTGAGTAACTTGTTGTGGATTTAATTTGGAAAGTCCGACCTATTTCAACCACAAAGTTAAAGCCCAAAGATCGACCCAAAAAGCCAAAGATCGACCAGAGGCTCGCCCCAAACCCCGAGAGCCTAAAGTATGACACCCGAGTTACGGGCTGAAGGCTTGAGGAAGAGGCTCAACATAAAATGGGACCAACCGAAACTTCCATTTGGGTTAGGAGAATTGAGGTTCAGGGTTAAGGAGGGTTTGTTGGGGGGTCCCTTCAAACAAAACAAAACACACACAGAACCAAACAAACTGTTCTTGCCCACAAAGTGGCTGGGTTGTCCTGTTGGTTTCCCTTTAAAACCAACTAACGGACAGAGGGGGTCCCTTAAAAAACAAAAACAAAAACCCGGAGAGCGGGGAGTGAAGAGAAAGCCATGGGGCAACCTGGAAAGCCATTGACAATGCCGAAGCTGCGCTGAAAGGCGTACCAAGCGGTTGTTCACGTCCACCGCGAAGTTCCCGTTCACGGGGCCCCGGGACATGCTGCTGTCCAGGTGCATCCTTGTGAGTCAGGATCTTTTCTTTGTGGATGATTTGAGATGTGCTCACCCTCAAGATCTTCGCTTTTTTGGAGACGTTCTCACTCTCTGAGTGGATTGGTCAACGAAGCATCCAAACTGTTTGCTTCTCCTAAGCTCACCAAGCTGGACTCCCTCAAAAGTATGAAGTCCGGGAAGTTTGGCACCGGCCAATCATCTCGTGGCTGAATCCCATGGAATTCGCGCTGCACCGAGAAAGGAACCCAAGCGACTCACCCGAAAACCCGGGTGTCAAACATCTGCCTTTTGTTGTTCTCATTGGTCAAAAGCTCCTTTACATGGGATGACCATTGGGGACAACCACCAGAAAATGATTTGTCCCACTAAATGAGAAAAGTAACCAATGGCCAAAACTGGGGGCCCTAGATGGAATATTGATCCACCCCCATATGATAGTTTTGTCCCAAAGTCGGGAACCCCGCTCTTTGGTTGTTGCTTAGCTGGAAGCCAGACATGAGCAGCGCAAGGAGTCCCCAGGTTGAAAGCAACATTGGCAGCGGTCACCCAGCAACAGGGTTCAAAGAGGACCTGGCCGTGTGTTTGACGACCCCCCCCACGTCCAACGTCATCCTGACATGACCGGTTTTGCGAGTGTGCAGATCCCACCAGGTACAAGGCCTTCATCATGGATGAGCTTGCTTTAACCCCCGAAGCGAGCTTGTGCTTTGCCAAGATAGTTCATCCGGTTGAGTGCTGGGAATAGGGGTGCCCCCACAATGAGTGATGTTCCCTTTTTCCCTTTAAGAACAACCAAAAGGGTTTTGCACCAAAAACAGACTCATGTGTCAAAACAGAAGGACCCCCAACAATGGATCAAAATGGGTCATCGTCCAACCCCAAACATGGTCACCTCAACCACCGCCCCCCGTACCGGTGTCCCCCAAAACCAGACCCATGTGTCAAAACAGGTCACCTCAAAAACGATCGACCCCCCCCACCCACCCTCTTGCCAAGGCACACGTAGTCCAAGGTCGCACGCCTCAATAGCCCCATGTCTGGGGGCGATGGCACCTTCACCACCTGCCAAAAACACGCGACAGCGAGAAGGAGCCAGGCGCGCGTCTTCGTGAAACCAAACCCTAGGGACAGAAGCGTGGGACCCGTTGGCGGCCTAAAAAGAAACGTCTACCCTTTTATACGCGGTATATACCAAAGACAAAAAACAAACCTGCAAAAACAAAAAACACGCAACAAGACACATACGCCAACAAAGCAAAACCAACAAATATGCAATCAAACGAACAAACAAACGAAATGAAACAAACAAACAAAATCGACCAAAGCAAAACCAACGAAACCAAACACAAAAAAACGACGAAACACTGAAAAGGCGGCGCAAACAAAGCGGCGCAAAGCGGCGCAATTCTGAAACCTGTGCTGGGCTACGATGGCCACGTCTCCCGTGAGCCCCAGGATCTCTCGCACGGCGAAGTCGGGGCTCAGCTCGTGCAGGGCAAAGAGCGAGTCCTCATAGGTGGATTGAACAAATGTTGGCTTTTCTGGGGTGGGTGTTTGTGCATTTGTGTACAAGCGTACCCCTTTTTGGGTTTGGTTTGCAGGGAAACCAGGAAGATATATTAATGTCCATGTCCCTTCGATTTCCCTTTCAATCCAACCAAAAGGGGCCAAGATTGTGTTCTATCTTGTGGGATCGGTTTTTGAACGCCACAAAAAAAGGGGTGCCAACTCCAAAAAACAACAAACCCATATTTTAGAGCCAAACCCGGCCACCGGACCTCCAACTGGATAGACTTGTGGTGCATGGTGCGAATGTCCAGGCGCGCCAGTCGGCCCCCCAACTCCGCCTCCGAGCAGTGCCATTCCTCGAGGCAAGGCGAAACGATGATAGGCCCTTCTCCAACATGAGTCATAACAAAACCCGGTACAAAAATGGTCGACCCAGAACCATGTAAAGAAATAAGAAGGCGGCCGCAGCTATTTATGGTTGGGATTGTCCCTTACTAATTTTCATCTACCCGGGTTTGATTGTGTCTTACATGTGGATTCTTTTCGCACGAATTGTTTTCCCTGGTTGCCTATGGAGGTTTCTGTAGGGTTACCCATATTCGGAGAATTGTGAATGTTGAGAATCCAAGCCGTTCCGCCAAAATGATTTTCTATCAATAAATGGGAGTGTCTGTTTTTAAGGGACCTCCTCCGTTGGTTGGTGTTAAAGGGAAACCAGAGAAGGACAACCGAGCCATTTGGGGGGGGGGGGGCGATTCCGGAAAAACTTGATGGTGCGCGAGATGCAGGGCATCAGAAATGGAAGAATGCCTTTACCTCGAGTCTCCATGACCCTTAAAAAATGGTTGGTCATTACCTAAAATAATAGGGTCGTTGACCCCATTTTTAAAGGGTCATGGAGACTCCAGGTAAAGAAACCATTCCCGATGTTTTTTCCTTTACTCGGGAATCCCAAAACGGCTCATTCAATACACCCGGACTCGGTCATTCCCTGACCTGTGCCACTCCCCTCTTCTGCCGCCTTTCGAAGAACATACAAAAAGGCCCGTGATTTCAAAGGTCCTCCAGTAGAGAGCTTAGAATAAGGTGGCACCAACGTTTTTGGCTATATTAGTAGGGGGACGTTTTGGTTGGGAGGGTGAGAAAGGGCACTCCTCGCTGGGGGACCTAGTCATGTTACGTTTTGACCAAACCATCATCCTCAAAAAGGCACCTTCTTAAACAGTCGAGGCGTTTTATGCCTTTCGGGGGGGAAGAGACAAGGAAAACCAGCTCTCATTTTCTGGATTTCTCTCCCAACAACTTTTCTGTAGTCTATTTTAGTAGGGGAACCCTCCCAACCAAAAAACAGCTCAACTCTCTCGCTCAGCCGTTTCTTGTTTTCTCGTTTTCTCAGCGGGCTTTTGAAGTACCTTCTTAAAAAGGTTGAGACCTTTGCGGCTTTTGAGAGTTACTTTAGGGGAACCAGCTCTCATCTTCTTATTTTATAGATATATCTATATCTATAAATATATATATGTATTTATTTATTTTTTATATGTTTCTCGTTTTCCCCGCTTTTTTTTCTCCGAAGCGCCGCTTTGGGCTGCACCTGCACCGCCACGTCCTCGCCGGTGCGCCACTGCAGCACCTTGGTGGATCGCAGGACGTGGCCTTCGTGGTGGATCTCCGTCCTCAGATCCCGCGGGGATCCGCGGGGATTCCGCGGAGCCTGGTGCTCCCTGTGGCCCGGCCGAGGCTCACTGGGGGCCTGGACCACCCCGGAAAAAAGGACAAACAACTCACCAAACACAAGGGGCTTTTTGGAGAAAAAAGGAAAACTGCCCCTCAAAAAGAGAATTTCACCAAGCATAAGGGATATTTTTGAGATGGTTTGGGCGGTCCCTTGTCCTGGCCGAGTGCGAATTTTGTGTGGCTCGTCCTTTCAGGGGCCCAACATGGCCCAGTGATCCTTTGGTCAACCCGGAAGATAAGCGAAAGGGATTTTGCCAATGGACTTTTGCCACAGTCCCCTCAATTGGGCATGATGTTGGAGAGACCCCTGAGACTTTGGGAGGGGCTCTTCCCCCCAAAAAAACACGGCGCCAAATCCTCTCGCCCAGACGCCGCAGGAATGCGTCGGGGATCTGGGACTCCATGTCCACCCAGACATGGAGCCACCGGTTCCGTGCCAGCGGCGCCGTAAAGACCGCGCAGTCCTCAGGAAGCGAACCACGGTGATTTTTTGTGGCTCAAAATCGAAAACACACACACCCAATAAAAAACCGACCCCTCCTAATATGCGTAGGCTATTTGCCCCGCGGCGTTTCTGCAAGGCCCCCTCAAAAGGAAACCCCGGCTGGCTCTCTGGCTGGCTCTCTGGCTGGCTGGCTTGGCTGGCTGGTTTGGCTGGGCAACATGCTCCCTTTGGCTTCCCCTTGTTTAAATCTGGAATCTGTAGTCTTTCCGATAGTATATTTGAAGGTTGACAAAATATAAACAACATAGGTTTCTTTTGCTTCTGGTGTACAAGGTACGATTCCAGGGAGATCATTGTAACCCGAGATTGTGAAAAGGATGTTGGACCATGTGACGGCCCTGCTCGTTCCTGCCATGCCGCATGTGCTTCCAGGTAAGCCTGACAACTATCAGTGGGTAAAAGCAAGAGGTAAGAGAGCCTCGCTAGCTACAATCCTGATAATGAGGAACTGGCATTTCATCCCATGGGTTTCCCACGTGGCTCACAAACCCATGTTGCCAGGTGGTTTGTGACCGTTGATCAATTCAATGGGAATTCCACTCATACACAGTGGTAACCAAGAACACACTTTTCTTTTTAGATGAGTCCGTCATCCATTTACCAAGTCTGCCCTGATCCCTGGCCCATGGGACACACACACCGGGTACCAGGATTGGTATCAGATTTTACGGGGAAAGTGGCGCCGAAGCCAACCAATCTCTCAGACCCTTGTTACTACTCCAGGAAACTTGTTGGTGCTCAGCAGGGACTCATTCAGGGTTTGGGAATAAACCAACCAGCGATCACCTCCCCGTCCCTTCATCATGGGTTGCTTCTGTTGCTTTTAGCTCAATCGCGTCGCGCGTCCTCCCCATCGATCTCGCTGATGGAGTAGAAGCGAAGGGGCCGCTTCGAGGAATCTTCCAAGTCCTCCTTTGGGTGTCCCGTGAGGTCCGGGTACTCATACTGGAGACACCTGGCTCGGTCTCTCTGTTTTCCGGCGGTCCGGGCAACCCCCAGACCGGGGAATTCGTTTTGGGGGTACCAGCTTTTTGCCAGGGGCTTGGTCTAAACGGAAAGGGAAGTCGAAGTGAGGGTCGACCAAAACAGGACTCCCCCTGGCTTTGTCGGAGACAACTCACTTCCAGTCAAGTGGATCCGGAAAAAAAAAAAAAAAAAAAAAAAACAACAGTTGAACTGGTTGTTTGCCACTAAATGGTCCAGACCCAAAAAGTGACTAAAGTCGAACTCAGGAAAGGGAACGGGAACTCCCCGCAATGGCTCTCATTCAACTTTTGGCTTCTTCTCCCCCCAAACAAATTGCGCCACACCCACCGCTTCCGGTGCGCCCTAAGGTCCCTCCAGCACCTATCCGCTGTAGGCAAGTTCTGTGAGTGGAAGGTCACGGTTGAGCCAAAAGCGGAACTCACGGCTACTGATCTACCACCGAAATGGAAAAGACCAACGCCATTTCTGAATACCCCACCAGGGTACAAGAAACTCCGGGACCATTCAATATAATATCCCACCCTTAGCATCTTGGGCCCTCAACAAGGCGCTTTTTAAGGTCCAAAACCTTCTAATGGAGGTCCTAATCCCTTCAACAAAGGGTCCAATGATGCCTCCGGCAATACTACTCTCTGTTACTCATCGCAAGAACCCAAGAAGGATATCTAAACATATCCGTACAATCCACTATCAAAAAGGACCATTGGCCAGAATCCCTGCTGTACACGTCTAGCGTGCGCCGGTCGCCGGTATTGTGAAATTGGTAGTGTTGTTTTTTCTTGTTTGTTTTCCATTTTTGTTTAAATACGGTACCCTGTCTTTGGCGATTTTAAAGGGACACCGAAAGCAAAACCATGACTTTGAGGGGCCACCAAAAATACAAAGCGACCTTTACCTCTTGTATCGGCCGACTCGGACATTGGTAGACACCAAACCAATCTTATGAATCTGTCTCAGCAGTCGAACCACTCGGACATGCCTACAAAAGGAGGGCGGTCATTTCAAGCATGGCGGCCCGTGATTAGACGGTTTCATCTCACGAATCGAGAGTGGATTGGCAACAAAACGACAAAGAATTGGAGACGTGTTTGCGTGTGGATTGGCAAACACGATAAACAACTTGTGCATGGTGTTTGCTCCATTCAAATGGTCTTCCCCAAAGGTATATCAAGCCCAAAGAACGCAGGGAGTGAGCCCCTTCAAACTCGATTCCCAAATGGCGATGCTTATTCCATCCAAAAAGAGATAACTCGAGTATGTGTCAAAATCAAGGACCCCATCAAGATTTGTTCCCTTTCATTCAAACCAATCACAGTACCCTCAAAGATGGATACTCGTTACAATCTAGCTGGGGCTGGGGCTGAATTTTCTCACCTTAAGCAAGGTGCTGGTGCTCGTCCTCATCCACCAGCTTGACGTTGGCGTAAATTTGGGGATTCGCCGAGTTCGCATGAACGAGGATGTCAATGTGCAGGTCCCCTACCTATCACTTGGCACCCTCCCCTTCATTTCCCCACGTGCAGCACCTTGTAGGGCCAGTCATCTTCTGGGCTGGTCCCAAGGAAACTACCACAACACCTCATGGAACCTGCCAGGGTGACAAACAACTGTCCTCTAAATGGGACCTTCTGGTGGGTTCCAATCCGTAGTTGAAAGGCCCTAAGTCGATTATGGATAAATCCCAAGGGGCTATGAACCACTCTCGAGGGGTCATCCGAGCAATCAACATCTTGGGATTGATGAAACTTTGGGGTAACACATTGGTCGATGAAGACAAGGAATGCAGGAAACCACACGGTGTCACTTCCTGAGTGGATGGGCCAATAAAGCAGTCACCCAACTTTTCGTTTACCACTAAACTGGTCTTCCCAAAAAAAACACCAAACTTTTCGTTTATCACGGGCAAGGACTAGACGAAACCAGGAGTATCTGCATCAAGCCTTACCCCCAAACAGAAAACGAAACTTGAAAATAAGAGATGCCCCTGTGTACGGAGCTGCACAGCTTGCAATGGGCAAGCATCATGGACTTAAATCATATGAGTCACAACCACAACCCGGTATTAAAATGGTCGTAATCCCAGAACCATGCTTCAAGAATTAAGAAGCCGGATCTCCGCAGCTATTTATGGCAAGGTCCCTTAGCAACCGGATCATCGATCCCCGAATCGGCTTTGAGCAAGTGGCTCATATTATGTCGACTGCCAGATTCAAAGCGAGGACCTTTGAGGGGACATGTCCAAACTCCAGTCAGCTTCCATGTCGGGAAATTAAAACTGAAAAGCACGACTCACTTCCTGAGAGGTCGGAACTTACGTACCCAACTTCTTCTAAAAAACCTCTAAAATGGTCTTCCCAAAAAGGAAAAACAAGTCCAGGAGCTCCGGAAGTGAGAGTTCAAGTACAATATGCTCTTTGTGGTTTGATTCCATGGACTTCGTGCAACCGGGCCGTCACGATCAACGTCAGGCATACTCAAAGGCTGATTGTAGAGGTCTATAGTATATAGAAATATTAACCCATTCACCTATAAACTAGGGCTTCATACCTGGGGTTCATACATGAACGTATGCATTCAGCCGTTGAACCACATGTTCTTTCTCAGAAATTGCCACTCTGAGCGATGCTCAGGCCGGGGAGGGGTGATCGAGAGGACCGAAGAGAACAAAAAGACTACTGGGGCAGGCCGGTCCGACCCACTTTAAGTGCTTTTTCACGACACACATCAAGCCTGGCGATTCTTTCCCGCAAAGACGCATGGAACAATTTGGAACACTTGTCATCCTCTGCTCAGCCGCGTGATACACATAAAATAGCAAAACATTGCAATAAGCAAGAATGACCCTGTCGGATGTGCTGAAATCCGTTTGCAGGGCCAGCCTATTCCCTCTGCTAGCATGTGCTAATTACGGTTGTTGACTCTGCACATCCAGCTTGACTGGCTTGCTTGATTGCTTGGCAGAAATGAGCCTTGCAACACCTGAAGGGCATGGCGTCTGCACTTCAAATAATGCGCACATAAACGACAGGGCCCGTGGAAAACAATGAAGAGCCCGCCTTGGTATTCTTTGCGTTCCCGTTGAGGCGAAATGCTCTGTTCTCCATGTCGATCCAAATCGCGCCTCGAGGGAGTGTTGGGCCGCCTTCAATAGTGGGGTGCGCTATAGAAAGCTCGTCCGCCGTATCCCAAAAAAACGCCGCTGGGACTTTCAATGGAAGCCCCTGACCCCTCCATTGAACACTTTGGAGGGATTTGGGGGTCTTAAAACCTGGCTGTTTGAGGGCACAAAAGGAATTACGGGGAGCTGCGGGGGGGAGGAGAATCTTTGACTCTACGTGTTCTCTTTCTTTCTTTTTTTGTAAAGGGGGGGGCAGAGAATACCCCAGTCCCTTATTGTTTATATTGGTGTCTCTTTTTTTATGGTTGGACCCCCACGTATTGCAACGGCTTCCTTTAGGTTTCCCTTTAAAACCACCAAGAAAACTGGGGGGTGCATCTTCATGGTGCTTTGCTCAATCCCTGCCCCTTCGAACCTTCGGCTTCCTCAGACGTGGTTTAACCACCGCCTCTTTGGTGGGTGCGCACCGGAGAGGCAACCAAATACCAGGTGACTCGGCCTAGGTCCTCCAGATTTGAGAGGTTAGAATAAGTTGGTACCCTATTTTTTCCAGTCGTCTGTCTTAGTAGGGGAACCCTCCGCCAAAAAAGGGTGAGAAAGAGCACTACTGGGACCTAGTGGCCAAATTTGTGTTCATGAGGTTGCGATCTGGTTCGCGGTTAAAGCAACATCATTCAACATCCTTTTCACACACCATGGGTTCCGTGCCGCTCCGCAGCCCGAACACAGCCAAGTTCACCGGGAGCAGCTTTCGATGGGCGTCAAACAGGTTTTTGGGATGGAGTGCTTTGGGCGCTGTGGTTGTGCTTGCTGGTTGTATGCTTGAACTTGGAGGAACGCAGGTTGCATGCTTTCCAAGAGATGGCAAACCATTGAGCAAACTCACACTCCAACATGATGCGAAATGCAGCGTTGGGACAAGATCCATGTCACTGTCGAGGAGTAGAGGCCGTTGCGGCACATCTTTGTCTCGGGGGTGCAGTGAACACAACTGATTAAAACAAGAATGAGTAATGGGCCGCAGCTTTTGACCAGTTGCAGCTCTGGCCTTCATGCCACTTTGGGCGCGGCTCTCGTCGTCACCCCCTTTCATCCCAAACCCCCCAACCCCACCGGTGCATCAGTCGATGCTTTCAAGAGCCCCCGCCTTGACTCCGGCTCACCTCGCTGCGGGTGACTGGGCTTTATACGGAAAAGCAGCCCCCCAGCCCCTCAGGTAACTTGGTGGACATCTGGGGTACGCAGCTTATGCTCAGACGCTGCTTCACCTGGTCCACCCAAAAGTCTACCATCCCCAAAAAAGAGACTGATGTACACCCACCCACCCGAACCTCCAGCAATTGCATTGAGCCACCCTGGAAGTGGAAACACGGCAACCCTGAGCAAGATTAGCCAGAAATTCGCCATGCTCAAAATATGTCGTTCCCGAAATAGGTGTTGTCAAATTCGTGAGTCACGCCAAACTTGGTGTTTTGAACTTGAGTAAGGACCCAGGCCCCCCACTAGCCATTGACTGCTGAAAGTTGTTTTTTGACCGAAGCTCTGACATGTGGTCAAACTCCGCCACTTGCAATTGTATTGGGGATGACCGAAGATGGTTCAAAGCAGAAAACGTGGAAAACAAACAAATATGGTGTAAACAAGAGCCTGGATGTGCTGATCAGTCTCAAACCACATCAAACAAGACATGGATCACAAGCAAAACCTGGTGCTGAAGTTGTCCACCCAAGACCACATAATAATTCAAAAGGGATAATATCCACACCTTTTCTCATGGTTAAGGGACTATCCCTGGCTAACCTTCATCTCGGGTTTGAGCGGGTCACGCCCCAAACCTTGGCCCTGCATTTGCAAACCCAAATCGGGTCGTTTCAAAAAACATGGGGAAAGATTCTTGAGTTCGAGACTCGGGTTAAGCCTTAGGTCCGGTTTTTGAAGTGCAAGTTGCAAACCGAATTCGTTGGCCAACATGGCGCTTGGTGCAAGTCAGGCCAAATGTGGGCTAGGTGATCCCTACACCAACCAAGCCCCAACGGATCACCATCTCTACGTCCGCCTGAAACCCTTGACAGAACACTCACATTTGGGACAATGCCCATCCCCAAGAGGCAGGTCAAAAGCTGATGAATCTCCCTACCCGCACCCACCCCGAAGGGGATCTGGCCAACCCAACACAAAACATCTGCGCGAGCTGCTGAAAACTCCTACCCAAAAAAGTCAGCGTGCATTCCTGAAATCAATGTCAAAACTGCAAACGCCGCGTTTCTATTCAGAAAGTCAAAGAAGTCAGTGCATATGGGTATGGGTCAAAACTAAATCACAAAAAGCCGCAGGTTTTGGTCCATGCTTCCACTTACCAGGGCAAGCAATTTTGGGTACATATGTTTGACCCACAGCCATATGTCAGAAATCCCACGCCAACTTCCCTAGGTCCTCCAGTACAGAGGTTAGAATAGGGGTACCCTTCGTCTTGTGGTCTATTTTAGTAATGGAACCCTCCCAACCAAAAAAGGGGAGAAAGGGGCACCTAGCTGGGGGACCTAGTTCCACATCCAGCACCAAACTCGAAGGCAGTTGCGGCCTTAGCGACACGGCCCCCGGCGAGCTGTCCAAGGCGCGTTGCCCCCCGCGGCAGTGCTCACAGCTGAGTAGTCAAAGGCGATGTGGTGCAGGCGCTCGATGTTTGGAGGCTCCGGGTCCTGTTGGGTTAAATGTCTAGGTGGGTGAATCAGATACCAATTTGGGGGAGAAGGTCCTCTTGGCTTTTGACATTTTGGGGAAAAGAGGGCCAGTGAACTCAGGCGATTCTGCCGGGTGGTTTCCCGTGGCAACAACCATATGGGTGAATCAAAGTCGATCCCATGGGCCTTTGCCCATGATTTCACTTGGGTAAATCCCATAGCTACGGTTCAGCTTCCCTCTACCCGATGGAGCCCAATGGTTTGGTGGTTCAGGGGTGACTTCCCATTTACCCTTTACAAGAACCAGGGGTTCAAATCAAAATCCACACCACCAATCCGAAGCATCAACTTTGGGCTACCTGAAGCGTGGTTTCCCATGACGAGGTTAAACTCATGGGTTGGGTGGTTTCCCTATGCGAAAGCCATGTAAGCAGGCGGATAAATGTAAACCCCTTCAGTGGGCAAATGCCATGGCAAAAACAAACAGAACATGTAGTTTCCTAGTCAAAAGTTCACATGTCATGTGGTTTGTGGTCAGTGTGATCAGTTTACTAAAAAGTCGTTCATGTTTAGTTGGTGAAATCCGCATAGGGGTCCGCCTTAGGAAAGCCTTAGCCTTAGATTCGGTACCTTTTCGCCTTAGATGGGTTGCGTGTTGCAAACTTTTGGGGGGGCCTGATGTCGGTAAATTTTCGAAGCGAACTCCAAAGAAGCAGTTGCAAGGGTCCCCTCATGTTGGGACACACCAAAATGGCAAGTCCCTGGACAGGTGAGAATTTTCTTCGTGGCAAGGTCACATTATCATTGTCGGACATGGCTGAAAGGATAGCAGCCGGCAAACGGCACCTCCGGCAACGGGCGCCCTTGTGACCGACAACTGCAGCAAACTCGAGTAAACTGGAGTAGCTGGGTTAGCTGGGGTCGGCCGGTTGACAGGCGCCAAACTGGTGATGGGCTTGCCACTTAGGCATTAAGCAGTTGCAACCAGAGTGGGCTTACATGAGAGAAGCGTGTATTGCTTTTCCAAGGGGTTGTGTTACTCTTCTAGATTTGCCTGTTGATTTTCTTCCCATGGTCCTCTTGTAGTTCTTACTGGGCTGTCCTCAAATCCTTTGCTGCATACTTGCCTTTCGCGGGTTAGATGGGGAAATCGGCACTGAAACGACAAACAAACTAAAATCCTAAGGAACCGCACGGCTGGCGTGGGTATTCAGCCCAGCCGCGTGTGTCCTTGACCCAAGTTGTGGGCCGGCTTTTGCAGGAAAACGAAAGGAACAACCATCATTGCGGGCCATAGGGTAACCCTGAAATGGAACCGTGGTAAATGGAACCAATGACCAAAACCTGGGGTCCCCTGGTGGTTTAATTTTGACCCATACCCATTTCAGGGATCCCCCACAAGAAAAAGACACACCCACTGTTTTTTCCCCACTGGGCGAGAAAGGAAGGGTTGCTCCAATCAGAATCTATGGCCGCGGGTACACTTCGAACGAGCTGGGGGTCTGTTGTTCTTGTCATTTTGACTTCGGATTCAATCCGAAGGACCAAGCTACTCAGAGGAAGCTTTCTTAAGTGTGAATTCCCCATAGGGAGTTTGCCGCCACTTTCTCTCCGACACTTTGGAACTCATCTACGAATTCTAATTCACCAACATGAAGGAACCCTGAAGTGAGTGACTTGCATCAAGGGTGAGCTCGTGTCACTGATTCGCCAAGACTTTCCGAAGCGCATTCCGGCTTGGGAAGGCATCTGCCAACATGGGGAGATCTAATTCACCAAGCAAAAGGGCATCAAACTCTTGTCAGGCCTTAAGTCAAGGCAACCAAAATCTGTCAAGCTCCTTCTTTGTAAGGAAAACCTAAACTGCAGAGCCGAATTCGCCCGGGCTTCCGCTTTTCACAACCCCAACAAGTTTGCCAGGGGGAGCTGATTTCGGTCAAGGGCAACTGATTCCCTGTACTACATGGGGGTTGCTTAATATTCCGTTCAGCCCCAAAATAAGCATGGGTAACTCTTTGCCTTTAGGTGGTGGTTTTGGGTAACTCTTTACACTTGGGTGAAAATCATCTTCTTTTTCAGTGGTTTACCTCATGGCTTTAAATGGGTGTGGGTCAATATTCTGGTGTGGAACGTTCCGCGGTGACGCGGACGTCTGGAACGAGTCAGTTACGCAAGGTCGCTTGTTCCGGACCTCTGGGAGGACGTGGAGTCCTCAAGCACACGTTCATTTAGTGTAAGATGGATAGATGGATGGATGAATGGATGGATGGGTAGATGGATGGATGAAGCGATTAGGGGCGCGCCGCCATTGTTGCCACCCTCGCGTCATTGGGACACCGATGCGCTGTAGTGGAGGCGTAAGCGCAAGCCGATGCAGGGTATCCTTCAAAGACTTGTTTGTCTCCAAAGCCCTGGCACATGTCGTCCTTGAAGGCTTCTTGGGTGGCGGGCCACGTAAGAAGCGCAGCTACTTACATGGCGCATGTGTGTGCATGTGGACTTGGTGGCAAACTGCTCCGCTGCGTCTGGAACACGTCTGGAACGGGTCTGGAACGGGTCTGGAACGGGGTCTGGAACGGCTACGCGAGTGGCTTGCACTTTGGAATGCTAGCAAGCCGCATGTAAACATGGTCGTTTCAACCGAGAACGGTATCGAATCGTTACCGTATCGTATCGAAAGCGGCGGAATTGTATCGCACCGAACCGAACCAAAGTTCCGGAACACCGATACTCCTTTCTTCATTTCTTTCTCCTTCTTTCTTGCTCCTTTGCTCCTTCTTTCTTGCTCCGCGCCATTTCAGCCTTGGCCATTGCACTTGCACACCCGACAAAGAACGACCATCTGAATCAATACTCTAGAAATAAATATACATAAACAAGGTCTGGAACGGAAGGTCTGGAACATGTTTCTATTCAAGGTCTGGAACGGAGGTCTGGAACGGAGGTCTGGATCGCATGTGGGTTCCGGACCCTGTTCCGGACCTTCTAAATTGACTCGCAGCCAAATGGTAATCCCGTGTATCACGGACCTTTTATCTACCATTGGGGTGGTCTACAGCGCCAAAAGGAAAATAGCGGAGGGTTACCTACTCTATGGGTTTGCCCGACTAAACATGTCGACCCTTGCCGTCGTCACAGCCGGTTCTCGCCGATGAATTCGCCTCCAGCATGATGGCCACGTCCCCGGGCAGCAGCATGCAGGCTACCAAGAAGAACTCTTGCGACCACTCCTGGATCGACGGTCCGGAACTTCAAGGGTTGACCGGACGAGGCAACCATGTCATTCAAGTATTCCATTTTGATTGGGTGGAAACCATCGTCTTTCACTGCCTCCAAACTTCACACTGTTTAAGCACACCTTCACACCATGTCCTTGGGTTTCTATGTTCTCATCGTCATTCTGAAAACCCTACCTGGAGGCATCATGATCTGGAATTGGGATTTCCATGACTTTTTGGTGAATGATCCCAGCTTTTAAGGGAGGTACATTCAAGGATGCCCTTGATGCTTCAACAAGCAACAGACAGGCCCATAGAGGCAAGGCTCATCATCTGGCCTATAGAGCAAAACATTCAATCCCCAATTGAAAGCCGCTTAAAATCAGAAAGCAGAACATAACAGGGCTGTCCTCAGATCCCCTGCTAAGAGTTTAGTGGATTAAATACAGAAGCTAAGCAAAAAACGAACCTAAGAAGCCGAACGGCCTTGGTTGCTGTTGACTCCCTCTGCAAAAGTGCAGGACTTTTGTGGGTTCCATTTGGAAAACCCTTGATTTCTCAACAAGTTGAAGACTAAAGATCCAACTCAATACCAATCAATAATTGAGGGACTTCTGATAACCCCGCCCCCCCCCGTTTCCTTTTTCGGATTGCCCCACGGGAGTGTCATGTTTCCCTCGCGATAAGAGCGCGTCTAATTATGTTGTGAGAGCAACATGCTACGACTTTAGTGAGGTCAAATAAACACCACGGATAGTGACAATTACTATAAGGGTCTAAATGATTAGAATTGGGTTGTGGGGTACTAAAAACAAAACAAACAACTAGATTATCTCATGATCATACTGTTGATGGACGAAATCATGCACCACCTAAGGAACCCTGGAATGATGAATCCCCTGTAAATACCAACGAACTGGTTTCCCGTGGCTTCAAAGCAAAATGAATTTCGCAACCATCCACAGGAGCACGCTTCTGACTTGTTTGCCTTTTACCCCAGAAACACCTGGAGATGGAGCAAGCCGCTCACCGGTTTTGGCTTGAGGATGTCAACCCAAACCTGGTTCTCTTCAAGCAGTTGCTTCGGTTAAATCAAGATCCGGTCGCTTTCCTGGCTTGTGCAAAATGGGGGGATCCCTAATTCTACTCCGAAATCCTGAGTTTGAAGTCTCTATAGAAAGAGAACTCACAAGAATCTGGGAGACATATTTTTCGGATTGATCTCAGCGCAGGTCTTCGAAGGGAGACCAACAACAAACAAAAGGCACTAAACACGTCGACGACTTCCGGTCTGGAATTCAGCGGTTCGGATACCTTCGGGTCTGTAAAGAGTAACTACCTTGCCATGCGAGAAGATACTCCCCCAAAATACCCAGGGATGGTGACTGGGTTCGTCGTTTCCTAAGGTCGAAGCTTTTGAAGGTTTCAGGAAAGCTGTATCTCAAAAAGGTCGAACGAGCTACGGTCACACCAAAGACCAGTCTGCTAACTTGCATTTTGTATTTTGTGTCGGACTCTCCCCCGAGAACAAATATGTCAGGTGCTATCCCCAACAGCCCCGGAACCCCCCGCAACCAACTTTCCGGAACCCTACCTCAGAGACGTCCCAGCCTGCAGCTGTTGAGAAAATAACACGTGGATTCCTTGGGGAGCATGCCTCACAAACATGTGTCGGGCATGCCTTGATGGGATCATCGCTGGACATGATCAGCAGCAAGTCGTTGAGCGCGGAGGAGCGCTGGTGCGGGGGCCGCAGGTCCACTTGCCCCATGTCATGCACGAACTCCTGACGGAGTTCGTCGAAGCCGGGAGTCACCAGAGCAAGGGGAACTATTGCAGCCTAATAGTGGCCATGAGTGACTAATAGTGACCATGAGGGCCAGTAAGGGAGGAAAGATTCCCGCGTTTCTGGTTGTTGCACCTACAATCTTGGCTGGAATTAGCACCCCAGCAACAAACTATATTTTTGCCTGGTTAGTGGAAAACAAACAGGACCCCAAAAAAGGAAACAACAAAAAACAACGGGAGCTCATTCTGGGGAAACAACAACCAAAAATGCGGGAATCCTTCCCCCGTACTTAAAGGCCCTGATACATGCTTCTGGCGAGTTCAGCCATAGCACTGGTTTGAAGGCAAACAAGCGCAATCATCAACAGGCGACACACGCCAACGCAAGCACCCGCAATTCATAAAACCTTCGCTGGTTCATGACAAGCAAACACGATCATGCATGAGAAGCGAAACGCCGAATATGATGGCGGGTCCCGAAGCATGCAACGGGTATCCTCAAACAAGATCCTTTGAGCCAGGGCTTCAACAGGACCATTCGCGACCGCTTTGGAAGGAAATGAGTCTATACCTCGGTATGCTTTCTACATGGTTTCTGGTTAAGCAGGCCTTTCAGGAACATGCAAGACAACGGCACTTCTTTCAGGTACCAGGCATTCATTGGTTCTTTGGCTTCTGGCTATGTACCCTTGGCCACATGGATGAAACCATGATTCACGGTTTCAGATATGTGCAAGCCATGATGGTTCACAAGGGCACACCGTTCCCAGATCCCTGGAGCCTGTGGTAAGCCCGAAAAAAAAAAACATGCAACACCTAGAGGAAAGAAACCCTGGCTACCATAGCAACTGGACTGGGTTAGGTACAAAACAAGCTTGGGACGAATTGAGAGCATCTCTGTGTCTTAGGGGGACCAAGGTGAACACCCTCAACATAAAACACACACACACACATGGAAGTGCACAAGGACCTTCCACAAAAACACAACACGGAAAACCGCAGCTTTTCTGCGGGTCCGCCATAGTCCGCCATCTGATACACCATGAGCATTCTTCCCCGCGGATCCCCTTGAACACGTTTGACAATCCAGAGCCTACTTAACCTCAAGCCGCCCTGTTTTTCAGGTGTCCCCAAATTTGCCAATCCAGAAATTGCTTGATTCCACTTGGTTTCGCTTGAGCAGATTCCCAAAAAGGGGGCTGTAAATATTTTTAGAACCCCAATACGTCAGCATCTGAGTTGATTCCCACCTCAGAAACACAAGAGAGCGCAATCCGGTCTCAGACGGACCAGCAAACTTGCTTCCCCCGAAACCCTCTAAAGTTCTAGTTCCCTTCGGCAAAGCGTGACAAGCCTAAACCCTGTATCCTTGATTTTGTATCCGTGATTTGGGGTATCATGGTCAATAGCTCCTTTTTGGCCGATTCCAATATTTCCTTTTGAATATCTCAATGTAGGCAACCACGCTCCACAATTGGAAAATTCGTGCTAAGCCAAAGGCACAAGTCAGCAATAGGCAAATCGCACAACTACATGCAATATTGCTCTTTTGCAACATGGCTCCGAATGGGATGGCAAAAAAAAAGGCGCCTTGTGAGTGTAGTCATTACCCTGCTCCGGGTTCCCAACAAGTCGACGGTTTGTTGGACCCACATTTGGTCGATTGCCCCAGTCTTGACAGGCACACATACCCTGGATAGCGTTTCCATCGGAAAAAAGGACGCAACCGCAATGGAAACAGGGGCCCAACACACCAGCCAGTATGTAATTGTTTAGCCACCTACCCTATTTCCAACAACATGGAAGTGGACAACATGGCTTTCCAAACCCTTTCCGTCAGAGTTGATTGCTTAGCCATCTACTCACTTCCAATCGAGTGGATTGGTCCGAAATCAGTACCTACACCTTCATATGTTCCACTAAAATGGTCTTCCGAACCCAAAAAAGTGCCCACAAGTCCATGAACTCAGGAAGTGAGTATACTGGTCTTCCCACCCAAAAGGTGCCCAAAAGTCCATGACCTCAGACTCAGGAAGTGACTTTCTACAGGTCCCTTCCAGCAAAGATCGGTTCGGTTCTTGGGGTGCGCGTTTGCAGCAGCTCGCGGCGCGCGGCGCGCGGCGGACCCGCCTCGGGCAGCTGGCACTTGGAGGAGGGCGGCTGGAACATCCCGCGCTCCGCCTCCGGCCTTGGAACCGACTTAGGGTCTCAGGCACACCACCCTTGTATCGCTTGTATTGGGTGTGAACTCACCGGACAAAAAAATATACACATTCATGGGGTTCTATGGTGTTTTGAAACAAAAAAACACCTGGCAATTTGGCACCGGACCTTGATTCTGGAGCTTTGATGTGATATCAGGAAGGCATCCATTGGGTCCGAGGAGCCACGTTTGTATACTGGCAGGGAGCAGTTCGAGTTCAAAGATAAACCAACTGGCTGCTTCGACAGGCAGGGAATGAGGTGGAACGACCCCGAGATAAACCATCCCATGTGGCTTCCTTTAAGGGGATCCCCTTCCAGTTCATTCCCAGCACCCGGACTCGGTCATTCGCTGCTGAGCACCAGCAAGCCAAACGAAGAAGTGTAGATGGCAAATCCAACAAATGCGCCAGTGAAGGATGACACTTTGTGATTCGGACGAGCCAGAAAAAAACGGTTTGGATGTTTCTTTTGTAGTTCCTTCCCGGTAGAACATTAAAGGAGTACTAACATATTACTAAAATAGAACCAACAGGGGGAAGAACAGGTGAAATATCCACAAAGAGCGCACCCAAACCATTTTCTAGCACCAACTGCCTGCCCCTCCCGTGCTCCCTTTGTGCATTCCCTCCCGCCGATTCCCCGGATCGCATCGGAGCAACTTTGAGGTTCAGCTCAATACAATGGATGGCCTTACTACAAGTGTGGTATATATATATATATATTAAAAGCAAGTAGCAATGTGTGGCTCTTCATTACACGATAGAACCCCATGAACGTGTTTTTCCTTGTAAACAGCAAATACCGCTGTGCATCTGCCCTCTCTAAGGGCTCAGGGGATTTGCTTGAAGGAAGCCATGGGATGGGTTTGTAGGGGTCGTTTCACCTCATTCCCTGCCTGTCGAGGCAGCCAGTTGGTTTATCTTCGAATTGCTCCCTGCCAGTACACGAACGTGGATCCTCGGACCCAGCCGCTGATAGCACATCAAAGCTCCAGAATCCCCGTGAACCCAGGAAGTGAGTTGATGTCTTGTAGAAGTGAGAGTCCAGGTCGATTCCCCGGTCATGTTAGGACCCTGGGCTGAAGAAAGCGTGCTGATAAACCGTGAAGCAACATATACCTGTCTCCAAACACCCTGTATAATGGGTGATTGCCCCGCGATGGGGTGAATTCCCTTATTTGTTCGGTGGGTAGTTTGAGGTCCAGGTTGTCTGGAATGTCCACACTCGGCACGTCTTTCTTGTTGCACCCGCCTTAATCAACCTTGCGAATCGTCGGGGTTTCTCACTTCAAAATGAACCACCTCACCTGAGAAGTGCCCAAACTCAATCAACTTTTGTTCTACTAACGTGGTCATAAGCTTATATAGGTGTATCTCTTTTTGAAGGGGGTTCCCCCTTTTTGGCACGCATGTTTTTTAAAACATATCAAGGGAAACCAAAAGCAAAACAACCTTTTGGTGGGACTCCCTGAAAAGATACACCCAATCTAGCCCTTCCTATACCTCCCTTCAATTGAGGTAGTAGGACCTACTAAAACGGCCCGGCCCCCTTTTGGGCATCTCATGTCGAGGCACACGTGCAGAGAGTGCTCCGGTGGTCGTTGAAACTCCACCTTCTTCACCACCCGCTTGCCGTCACGTAGCATCACCCCCATCATACGCTCAGAGCTGTTGTGAGTGACGAAGCCCATCCGATATCTGGCCTCAGGCGGGCGAAATTTGACAGGAATCCTTACATTATACACCTGAACATTGCCTTGTAAATGGTGGTTTCCCGTTATTTTGGTGGAACAAGCCATGTTTCAAATGAGCAAAATGTATCTTTTAAGGAGCCTTGCTTTAGATTGCGGGCCAGCAGAGCGAGCCAAGCAACACCAACGGAGAAATGCAGAATGGGCATGATACTGGTGAATCAACGATGTATGAACGTTTTGTTGACGATTGATTTCCGAACGCTTGCAAGGAGACAGTGGTGACTGAGGCTCGAAACGATCACTTGATGGCTATTACCCTCTTCCAAAAAGTTTAGCACAGGTTGGGAAAGGAGCCATTTTCCCAACCAGAAGATTAAGCATCCCAACCAGTTCTATTCACGGAAAAGGTGAGTGTCAGTGTGATGCTCCAAAGTCTTGCCACTGTCTTGGCGTGTCGAAGTGCTGACTAGAAGCATGTGGGTGTCTTGTTGTTTGAGGGATGTTTGACACGTCTGTTTCATGGAGGACATCAACAGCAGTGGATCCCGATTGCCATCATAGCAACCTCCCGTGCTCCTTTTGGAGTTTGACGGGGTGTGACCGGTGGCTCCCTGTTGACCGTGCCCAGCATGTGGTAGTTAAAGGGCACGGTACTGTAGCTGTGAGCGAGAAAGAACTGGTTGACTCTGAAGTTTGGGTTTTGAAGGCTGGGTCACTGATTGGCTACAATACTAGTTGTGAAATGCAATGATTGTGTAGGGCTTCGTTGAGTCGGTGACCAAGTCTCGACAGTTTTAGTGCCAGTTGGCGCCCCTTAGCTCCCCATTTCATAGGATATTTATCGTCCCTGGCGCCTTGGCTATATCCATGGCCAGTTGTCCCTTTACTCTCCTCTCAAGCAAAAAACGCCTCCGTGGATGATGACGTAGGCATAAGACTAGACATGTGCTAGTTGGGGTCTTTTCGAGGTTGTCTGTTCTCCCTACACCTGGACCTGGTCTGACATGGATGCTTTGCACTAAAAGGACAGCCCAGATTGATGTGTCCATGAATATCAGAATGCGTTCTTTGTTCTTGGGTGAAGCAGCAAACTTGGAAAGGCCCATCAAAGAGCATGTGCTGAGGAGAGTACACTGTTTCAAGTTGCCTAAGATAACCCCCATAGGAAAACCAACGCCATTCTGGGGGACCCAATTTGAATACGTCAGATCAGGCAAGCAAATGACTAGTCCTCGAGTCTTACCTCTCACACCTTCCCAAACGTGTGTCCAAAGTGACATGCCACGAACAATGGAGGTCGGTCATGTCACCATGAGTCAAAACCCCGTACGCCCAGTGAACATCCCAATCCAACCACTAAAATAGGTTCTAAAATGGGTGGTGCACCGGTCACCTACCCCAAAATGGGATCCCATTGGTTTTGACCCGCGGTCATGTTGAGATACCTCCAAATGAGTCACAATCAAAACCAGGTATTCAAGTGGTCTACCCAGAATCATGTAAATAAGTTTGAAGGCGGCCGACACTATTTCTGGCTGGGACTGCCCCTTACTAACCTTCATCTACCCGAATCGGATTTGAGTGTGGCTGAAATATGCAACGTACCCAGTCCCCAGCTGCTTCTGTTGAGCTTAAGGACGAACACCTAGCACTCCACAAACTGCCCCCAGCTGCCCAAGGGTTCATCGGACCCAAAAAAGCGACTAAGAGTTCAGGAAGTGAGTCTCTCTTCTTCCTTTTTTTGGATTGGGCGCTGTCCAGGGCAGGAGGTGGGTGGTCTTCCCCGTGTGGTAGTCGTGCTCCTCCTCGTGCTCCCAGGTGCCGAACTCGTCGTGGCGCCGCTTCAGCGTCGCCAGCCGCGCGCGGTCCACCTCACCGCGAGCCATGAAGGCGCGCTCGAGCTTGGTTGCTGCAACGACCCCCTACAACAAGTGTTTGTTCTCACTTTTTGGGGGGGTTTAGTGGAAAACACCTTTATTTTCCACACCACCCAAGAAACGATGGGGGACCACTTTTTGTTGGTATTTGCAGGGGACTCATCATTCGCAAGGTCTCTTAGGTGGTGCAGGATTTCATCCAAAAAGTTAAAGTCTAAAGATACGTTGCCCAATAGCAGTCAGCGAGATGGATGTGAATCAGATGCGAAGGCCGAAGGCCTCAGGAAAAAAAAACCTACCTGGAGTCTCCATTACCTAAACTAATGGGGTCGTTGACCCATTTTTACAGGGTCATGGAGACTCTAGGTATGTATTCCTTGGGCTTCCAAAAACCCGCAAAACCAGGGTCCTTCTTGATTTTGATCTTGGCTCCAAATGGAAATTCGGCCAAAGGCCTGCTGTTCTAGGGTTGTGGAAGATGTACATGTTGACCCCAGATTAATCAACCCCAGTTAATAAATCGGGGGGTGTCCCTGGGTTTAGTGGGAATCATCACGTTTGGAAGGGAACCCCCACCCCTATTAATAAACTGGGGTGGATTTATGTTGGGTCAACATTAGTCTGCCGACGTGTTTCTGTATCAGGTGTTTTACAATATGTGATCTGCCGATGCCCTTTTGGTTTCGCGTTGGTTGGATGCTTCTCTGGGGGCAGGACGGTTTGGACTGGTAGATGTGGCAACCATTGGGGTACACTCCACAAAAGAACGGTTCGTGCGGCGATTCTTGCCATGTTTAACGGCTTGGTGACCATGCCGGACTCTGCAGTACCTTTGGGGGTTGGAAATCTGAAGCTAAAAGGAAAGCGTGTTGTGTTTTTGTTGTTGTAGGAACCTTGGTGACCCTGCAGTACCTGGGGCAAAAAGGAAAGCGTGTTGTGTTTTTGTTGGGGGGGGGTAGACGAAGCCGAGACTCACCCAAATAGACAGAAGGAACCCAAACAAGGGCTTCTCCTCCCAGGCTTAGCGGATTTGTGGAAAGGTTCTATAGGCCATCCAGGTATGGGCTCCTCTGCGGCGAGTTTTGAGTGGTCACCGAAAACATCAACTACTCCCTACTCACAAATCCGCATTGTGAGCCTTTGGATCTTCGGTTTTCCAAGTTAGTGCCCCTAATCTCCCAAGATGGGGGATAAACACATGACTTCCCTTGTACCCGCAAAGGGCACATTTGTGGAAAGGGGAATGGCCAGGAAAACCCAACAACAAAGGTCTCATCTCCCCAAAACAAGATGTTCTTTCTCTGAAAATCATGTGACTTGTCTGGATTCCATGTGAATCAGCATTGCGAATATGGCAGAGGGCCACTTGTGCGGTGTTTTCCTGGGGGTCAAAGAGACGCTGGTGTCCTTCCCATTCTGACTCCAGGCGAAGGCCCGAAGGCCCCAATAAGATGCGAGGAACCGGGAGGAGCCATCCTGCTTGACTGATTTTGGGGATGGTTCAGGGAAAACTTAAAGAAGACCCCCCATTCTTTTGGAAGGGAAGCTAAAGGCTAAAGACCAAGTGCTTCTGTAAATTACAGCTGAAATTTGCTAAGCCAGACACCGCTCGGTTCTTTCTACTTCCAAGTTGAAGAAAGCCCACGAATTGAGTCACCTCAAGTCCTGCAGTCCTTCAGCCCGGGGGGATGGGGGGGGAGGGGGGATGGGGGTGGGGGGATGGAACGAAAGGGGGAAAAAATGGCGTTCGGTTCCGTAAACGCAGGCTCGCAGGCTCGCGAGCGGCGCCTCGGCCGTGCCATCCGGAAAGGGGTACATCAAGCATTGGTCCTGAAATGGAGGTCAGCTTGGTTGCTGTAACGATTTTCCTGCAAGAAGCTTTTCACTTTTGGGGGGTTTCGCGGAACCCCCTTTTATTTCAACCAAAAAGTTAAAGTCTAAAGATCCAAGCCAATAGCAATCAAGACAGGAAGGGTCCAAGTTGCGGCACTTCCGGCGCCCCAAGAGTAGCGGAACCCTCCCCCAAAAAGGAAACGGTAAAAGGGCACCTAGCTGGGGCACCTAGCAGGTGCATACCTGTCCGGCCCGACTCAGCTTTTGCAACACCGAAACTCAGCTGTTGCTTTCTTTGTTGATGGAGCAGAGTTCGCGAGTCTGCAAACTCAGTTCACAGATCCCTCAACCCCTTCAGTTCAGCCGGCAAGAGGCTCAAACTTCCTGGAAGGTACCTTCTCACCGGTCAACGGGAACAAATGGCCCCCCTTGTTTGGAGTAGTTGATTTATCCCCAACAGGGAACCCTCCGGAGCCCTCTCAGAAAGACCGGGGCCCTGAATGCGAATGAGAACACGATCGGAAAAAAAAGGGCAAGTCTGGAGGATAGTTTTTTTGGTCTGCAATCATCAGCTGAAGAACTGTACTGGGTCCAGGAAAATGAACTCAATTGATGCAAAGCGACTTCTGCAAAACAGAAAAGCCTCAACATGTTGTGGTTTCAAGTTGAGTCCCAGCCCAAAAGTAAGTTCAAGAGTTCTCAACTCACTTGGGATTGAGGGAAGCCCTGGCGTCTCTCGCGGGTCCATGTGCAGATTTTCCAGCTCGATCCTCGCGTACATGGCCTGGCACTAAACCACCGAACCCTCTACCCAGCTCCGCGTCTAGGCCATCCAAACCATCCCCCCCTTGTTTGGAACAGGTGCTGCAAGCCTCCAAACGGAAACCTAGACACTTTTCACAACAATTTAGGACCGCCCTGCCTTCTCCCTTCCGCCCTTCCGCCCTTCATTCCTCCCTTCCTCCCTTCCTCGCTTCCTCCCTTCCTCCCTTCTTCCCTTCCTCCCTTCTTCTTTTCTTTTCCTTCCTTCCTTCTTTCCTTCCTTCCTTCCGTGCTTCCTTCCAACCCCTTCCTTCCAACCCCTTCCTTCCAACCCCCAACCCCTCGCTTCCAACCTTCCTTCCTCTGTTCCTTCCAACCCTCCCTTCCTTCCAACCCCTCCATTCCGACCTTTCCTTCCAAACTGCTTGTGACTAAACAACAAAACAATACCGCTGCATGTTTACAATTCAAATTCAAGTAGTCTTAAATGAACCCGCATGCCCCTTTAACCTTGGCCAAACATGGCCAAACTAAACCCCTTCAAAAAGCCAGCAAATGAAGTAAACTCTGAGGGGCAAACGGGGCAGAAAGGTGAGACATAGGAACGCAAACAGGGGGGTGTCCTTCAAAAGCAAATTCCCCCCCCCCCCCCAGGAAGAAGAAAAACAACTCGCCGAGTTTTTTTGGGGGGCTTCCAAAAGTTCATCTGGAAACCTCTCCCGAGCCCTGCAGGGCCTTTTGCCCCCCCCCCCCCCGCCCGAAGAACAAAACTGCCGTATTTATCTGTTCAACAGTTTGGGGCTCCACGCTCATCTGACAGGGCTCTCCCGAGTTTCCACTCCCCCCGCCCAAGAAGAGCAACTCGCTTTCTTGTTTTTCCGTTTCCACAAGTTCATCTGGGCTCCTCTCTTCCGACGTGCCTTCTTGCCAGCATCCAGCACCAGGGTGATGACCCCCCGCCCGAACTTGGGGCTCGTCGCCACGCCCCGCAGCCGCACCACCGGCTGCGCCTGCAGCTTGGAGCCCAGGTCTTTTCGGCCCGTGGACTTGTGTACCCAAAACGATCTCTTTGGCCTTAGAGGGTCTGGCCTCATGATTCCATGGTCAAAGTCACCCCCGCTCAGTGGTGGGTCAAAAGGAAACAACAACCACTTCATGACTTTGATAAACCCCAGAAACCGTCGAAATAATTTGACCTTAGAGGGTACTTGGATCCGGGATTTTGAGCAGAGAAATTCGGGGTGCCCGAACCAAACCTGAGCAGGACCCCACAAGTTGAATTCAAGGTTTGGAGCCTAGGGTGTGGGTCAAAATTAATCCACCAGACCGCAGGTTTCAGTCTTTGGTTCCATTTTACCAGGGTGATAGAGTTTTTTTTTCTCTGACCCCATAGCATTCAGCTGTTGTGGGGAAACACATGTACCTGAGGACCCTCTCAATCATGTAAGGAAAGAAGCTCCCCTGCTAAATGGGTAAGTTCCCTGATTCCGCAATTCCCTTTGAGCCAACCGCAAAAAGGGCACGTGGGCGCCAAAACATGTTTACAAATACTTTGGTAGGACCTGTTTCTGGGGATTGATTGGGATTGTGCCCTAACCCTGCATAGAACTAACAGACCTCATTGATTCCCAGGGGTTCATGGCAAGCGATCACCAAGGACACCCCACTTAAACATAGTTGAACATCCATGTGAAACATCCTCGTTGTAGTTCCCCTAACTATGGCTGTTTGAATGCATCTGGACAAATTACATTCCATACCGTTGTTCAAGGAATCACCAAGTACTGGATTTTGAACATGGTCGAACTCTTTCTCCCCGTGAGCTTCTCTTCATTTGTGCAGAGCATTGCAGACATGGGTGGCTCGTCTTTTTTAAGGTTCGACCCCCCAAACATGGCTTCGGTTCTCCTTTTGGATTTCCTGGAAACCCAAACAAAAAGGTCGCCTCAAAGAACGACAAGATGCCACATGTCTCCTGTGCGCAAGATGCCACATTGCTAAGCGACGGCGAGTGAAACAAGGGGCTGGCTCAACCCTAGGTCACCCCCTCACCGACCAACTTGGACGCTTGCAAAAGCCGCTGTTGGGAGTCATCTGCCGCTTTTGGGAGTCATCTCGCATCCTGGGACCGAATCTGGGGTACAACAGTACAACTGTTCAAATTGATGCTTCATATCCTGGGGGCGTGAAAGCAAAGGGTGGGTTCATATTTCACCGCCGAGGTTTACCGTTCAGGATTGTCATCCAAATTGGGTCCCAAGTTGCCAGTTGCTTAATGGGGTTGAACCCCAGGGCTATGCTACCCTAAGATATATCATAAATCCGAAGTCCCAGGCCCAAAACCCTTGTCTTTCCAAGACTGATTCGGAGCCATTGCAAGGAAGCAACGGAAGCAACGGAAAGTTTATGATCCTTAGTGGTGCTTCAAGGCTCCCAGCACGACAATAGTCGACTAAGAGTCAGGCGAAAGGCTGCAATTGCTCGCCTTGCTATGGCTCTGAACCAAACGAGCATGTAGTTTAATTAGGGGCCTTTTGGTGAACATGACTTTGCTGAAAATGTCCACCGTCCACCAACCACTTGTTAGATTCCCTGCTGAAATTCGTAGCCATATATGAGTCTGTATTGCTTTTGGGTACGCTTCTTTTTGGGTTGTTCTAAAGGCAAGCCAAAAGAACAACCGTGGCTTGTTGGGCGGTCCGAATCCCCGCAAACCCATATGAGATAGAGGATATTGTCCATGTCAGTATGTGCTAACGGTCGAAGGGCCAGGGCATAAAGATCTTGCAAGGACAATTCTGAGTAAGGGTGACAGTGCATTCATGAAGGTCGTGCAGATCATAATTATATACATACTGCGGATGGACCTGCTGCGGATGGACACAAATCAGTTCGCACCAGTTAGGATGGATAAAGTGTTGAGGGGTTTTGTTAAAGAAACAACTGAAGAAACACCAAAGTCATTCTGAAGGGCAACCTGTAAAAATACAAACGAAGTCAGTTTGGGAGGTCCAAATCCCAACACATTTCACTGGATCCCAGTTACCACTGTAGGCAACCCTTCGCCATTTTCCTTGTGGCTTTTTATGGCGGGAGCCCTTGGATACTGAACCGGGGAGATGGAACCTCGCCTTCGCTTCGGTTCGACGGAACCGGACGAAACGGCATTTTTTTGTTTTTCTCCGTCTATTTTGGTGGTAGCATTGGGATGTTCACTAAATATCCGGGGTTTTGACCCATGGCCAGATGGCTGTGGCTCAAAAAACCGGTTCCCAAAATGGGTTGCCCTGGTAAGTGGAAACATGGACCAAAACCTGCGGTTTGCCCCTCCTGCTTAATTTTGAGCCACACCCAAATGAGCCACAAGGTGCAATTGAGGTCAAACCACCAACTTTCCAGGGATCCTTCTTTCTAGAAAACCACCCAAAACGCTGGGGAAATGGCGATCGGTTTTTGAAAATAACGATGGCTGAAAAGAATGGACAAGGAATCAACCCCCAGAAACTTGGATTCTTCTTCGCCTCCCAGGAGATCCAAAGGTCACCTTCTCCGCTCCGCGGCATCGAGGCCCGGTGCAGCTGGTAGTCGTAGGCCACCTGACGCGGGGCGCTCACGCGCTTTGCTCCACGCTTGGTCGAGGCAAAGAATACTCATTCGTGTTTGTTTTCCTTTTTTTTTCTCGAAAAGGGTGACAACCAAAAAACACGTGGGTGGTTCCTTCATGTGCGTTTTCAAGTCCCCCGCAAAAATGAGACCAGATGTGCAGCAGTGATAGCACCAATTTGAAGCAATTGGACGTTTTTGGTCATAGAAACAAGAAAAACACTGCAGGAGAATCTACAGGTTTAAATGAGTGCCTCTTTTTGAGGGTACCCTCTTTGCGGGATTGAGCGGAAACCCAAAACAAAGCCCCTCAAACCTTTCGGGATTCCCCGAGTTCGAGAACCCGAATGTGCTCCGGTTAGAAAAGAAAACTTACCCGCGTGGGGCATGGAATCATAGCTCCCGTAACCCAACGGCAACTGGTTGGTTCGCAGGGAATGAGGGCAATGAGTTTCCAAACTCCACCCGGAGAAACCCGGAGAAACCTGAAATAGAGATGGTTGATTCCCTGCATGTCCATCTTTCCGACCATCCTTCTTTTCAAACACCAGCGTTCTTGTTCCCTAGGCTTTTGGGTGGTTTTCTAGAAAGATTCGGATCCCTGGAAAGAATGGGGAAGATACCCCTAGATGAATTGGCGATAATTAGCCAAAAGGGCAAAAATATATGGCTTGAAACTAGGGAACCCCCAAAATGGTTGGTTTCCTTTGGGTTTCCCACTTGAAGTCCATCCCCAAAAGGTAGCCTCAAAATTTATCCAACGAGGCACATGCATGTAGTGGCTCGTCTGGTCCAGCAGAGCCGCGGCATCTGGCTCCTGGCGTCGAAGGGAACCAGTTCTTGAGGCCCGTTGAAAAAACCCTGAACTGTTTTACGGACGTGGCATTTCCTCTGTCTGCAAACCCTCTGCATCTTACGGATCAAATTAAAGTTGGGAGCGGCTGAGTATTGCCAGACAGGCTGTCTGGAAGTTTACTGGCGAGATCAACAACGTGCTTCAAGCCGGTTAGTGGGCTATTGGACCCGGACAGGCACCAAAGGCAATCTTGCAAGGTGAAACGTCCGTGTACGCTGAACTGCCGCACATTCGATCTTCAAATGTGCATGCTCAGGCCCGCAAAATGGGAGGGTTTCATCTTGGCCTGCTCGGAGTGGCACCATTCGACCATAGTAGGATTTCGTAGGTAACCAGGGCAAACCAGAGGTAAATATACCTGGTTACCTACTGTAGTGGTAACTGGGTCCACTGGGAAAGGGATGGAATTCACTGAACTGGGCCTTGTGAAGCATGCAACTCAGGTCCTAACCTTTATTAATTAATTGGAACAGGGCCACGCAGAACAAAATTGCGCCACTCCTTGGGCAAGGTATCATTCACCAACTGGTTTTCAAAACAGCCATCGGTCCTCATGTCCAAAAGAGGCCTTTCGGGTTTCCTTCAACTGAGTCGCAATCAAAACCTGGTACAAAAATGGTGAACCCAGAACCATGTACAGGATTAAGAAGGCGGATATCCGCAGCTATTTCTGGTTGGGATCGGCCCTTACTAACCGTCATCTACCCGAATCGGTTTTGATTGTGGCTCAACTGGTCATGTTTGTTTTCACTTGATCACACTTCCCGATCCAGTAGCTCAAGAAAACCCGAGCTCGAGCGGGGTTTGACCCTTTTCGACCTAGGCCCTTCTCGACATTCTGCAGTTGGACGCAAATTCAAGTGACATGGGAAACAACATGTTCCAGGCAAATACTACCCTTGCGGTTTATCTATACACTCTTCTGAATAAACCAAGGCCTGGACAAGAAATCTGCGATTGCTAAATGACAAACCGTTACCTGCCAAAATAGCAACGCAAAACTAGTTGAAGCGAAACATGACATGACACAACACAACATACACAATGGCAATGCAATAGCATGTAGAACATGCTACAGCATCGCCTTCGGTCCAAGCCATATCAACTCGCCCGCAACGCGCAACGCGACACCCATTGCTATTCAGTTCAGCACATTGGCCCGGTAATTCGTGTGTGCGAATAAACTTAAATTGCATATCTGGGGTTATGCCTAGGAAATGTCGGCCCGCTCTTTTGCAATCGGTTTGTCGCATTCTTAGCTATGAGTGGTACACAAACCCTCCTAGAAGCCCATAACATGTGTTGAACGCTTTGCTGCGCCTGACTATGCAACCGCGACTGTCAGTGGGCATCAACGCTGACAGGGAAGCAACCAACAGGTCGGGATATCATTGCGTGCTGCGGAAACTTGGGTTGTCCTCCAGTGTCCTCCTCAAGCCGAGAGTAGACTACCAATATCGTGGTCGTTGCTCATTGTGAGTCTAACCCACCCACCCACCCACCCACCCACCCACCCACCCACCCACCCACCCACCCACCCACACACACACACACACTTGAACTCCAGATGGAGAGTGCTCATCTTTCGAGTACAACTGATGAGTCTCGAGTACAACTGATGAGTCTCGAGTAAGATAAGTTTCGGCTCACGATGCACTCGGCTTCCCTCTAGTGACGAAAGCGTTACAAGGTCCAACATGAAGCACACACAGCGAGAGAAAGAAGAGGGCCAACAGGACTTTGCAACACAGATCAGCAGGTACACGGATTGGCGTCCCAATCCGCTTCACGGAGGTTCCACAGCCGTCTTCGTTGGCAGTAGGACTGTGGTCTCCCTACTGCCCCCTGCAGCAACAGAAAAAGGTTTTGGTGGCAGGGTTTTCTGCGAGGTTTCTCTTTTTTCTTGCAGGAAGATCACATGCTCAAACTCGAATCTCTATCGTTGACCAAAATATCCTCCACGGCGAGGGGAGCGAGACACCGCCCTAAACCGCTCAGAAGACGGGAACGAGAGATCACCACGTTGAGCGTTGCGAGTGTCGCCATAGAGGACTGAAGCGATTTGCGAAGCAGCCGGGCGATCACCATGAGAAAACGGAGTGGCGTAGGTGAAGGTCTCCTCAACTGGTACGGCATCGGAGTTTCGAACTTGACCAAGAGATTGATCATGTGGATAGTGAGTTGCGAAGGACTCAATCCGAGACAGAATGCGCTGGTACCCTTGATGTTGCCAGTCACGGATGTCCCATGCCTGGACTGGCGCATTGGGATCAGTCACCCGCTGCCATTCCCGAAAAGAATTTTCAGGTAGATCAGGTACGGCGTCACCGCGGTGCCATCGTTGAGGCTGTCCTGCTATATTGGTTTGTTCCACTTAGGACCAACTTACCCTACTTATAAGTTACTTAACATCAACTTATGTTAAGTCGGTTATAAGTTACTTACGACCAACTTAGACCGAGGTTATAAGTAAGACCTAAGTAGGTTTCTTTTGGGTCGCTTTTCTGTTTTTAGAGGATGGGCTTTTATACCCGGAGGTCATACGAAAGAGTTTTTTTGGCTCAACTCAGGAAGGACAGCGCCTTTTTTTAGCAGCTCTCGCCTTTTTTTTTTCGCGCAGCGAATTTCCAGCGCGATGTGCTGGGTTGCAGGTCTTCATGCAAATACAGATTCTAGTGCAAGCAAATTACAGTGGCGCCGTCATGACGCCACGCCGCAGGCTTGAAGCAGGTAGACACAAAGCGGGCGGGGACATGGTCCTCGCGGTCTAGCTGTCTCCAGGTTGTGCCCCAGGGCTGCTGCGCGAGGAAGACCAGCGGGGTCAGCGCAAGGCGGAGGCTTCCATCGCCTCCCGCAACGAAGTACTGCGCGACGCAGCCTTGCCGCCTGTCTGACGAAATCAAAACCTCGCCTGCCCGGACACGCGCAGGCGAGCATGCTGCGGCGGAAGCCGACCACATGAGAGAGCTCTCGCCCAGCTTCGCGCGGAGTCGCGCGGAGGCCGGGCGGATGGGGGGTAGCAGGCGCCACCCAGGCGTCATGCCACTTTGCGCGGCAGTATCAGCAGTGATAGATATCAGGCGAGGTAGAAGAGCCTTTTGAAAGGCCTCCCCGTCACCCAGCCGAGCCTTTTGCCTATCGACATTCCCGTGGGCCTTCATGGCCTGATGTTTTTTCTCGTGCAGCGAGCAATCCGGGACGAACCCCAATATAGCGATGGAAGCCGGCATGTGCATTCGCGCGTGGTGCTTGGGCTTGACTTCGTCTGGGCCCCAAGCGCGATAGAAGGCTTCCATGTGGAGACTTTGCGAGACATCTAGAAACTCCGCGTCTCCACGGGTCAAAACGCGGCCGCAAGCTTGCAGCTGCCGCAGCTCTCCACAGCACTGCTTTAGCAGGGAGAAGCTGTGGAGAAGAGCTTCAGCATCGGCATCGTCTCTCAGGAGAACGAACAAGTAATAAAAGAGCAGAAAGACCAGAGGCCTCGTTTGATTCCCGTTGCCCTTGAAGAGACCTGGTGCCCACATCTTTTCGTGGAAGATCGCCTTCATCCAGTACGTGGCGCGGGCGGACTCGTTTGGGCGCAGCCATTTGGAGGCCAAAGCGCATCCCAGCAGGTCCGCTGGAGTAATGCCGCGGGTTCCCAGATAGTCCATGGCCAGGCCGCACTCCCAGCTGGCGCAGCCATTCGCATAGTACGTGTGGAGTAAGTCTACGGTCGCAGCACTTGGCGGGAGCCGACACCTCAGCCGCGGGTTGAACATGAGGCCCGACTCAACGCGGTTCAGCCCCAGCGCCATTGAGCGAAACTTAATGTCCTGCTTGTTTGTTAGCGCCAGAAGTTCATCCGCTAAGCGGAAGAAGACCCGGTCACTGACTCCCAAGAACTTTTCCTGGCGCCACTCGTGTAGTTCTACGAGGTTGGGCGCTGACAGACCGTGACCCTTGCGCACCACGTTCCGGCACGAGATGCACGGGACAGTGCCAGCCGCGCCCTTGAGCCCGAAGATAAGCCGGATAGCATCGTGATCCGCCATGAGTGCGGATCGTTGGCCGATCCGCACCCACCGCGGGCCCTCCGGCAAAGCCACAGGAAAACCGGCCAAGTGGCTAGGCGCGTGGATTGCGTCCAGGAGCAGGCTTGCTAACGCGCTGAGCCCTCCAGTGATACGGTCGATGTCCGCTTTCTGCACCGCGCACAATGTGACCCAGGCCGGCTCCGCTCGAATGCAATCGCGCAGATTTTTGAAGCTGAAGTAGAAGCCAGTAATTTTTTTGCGTGACTTGATGGCAGCTAAGACGTTTCCACATGCGACCTCGTCGCAATAGACAACGGGCTCGAGCTCCAAGATGGCCGCGGCCGCACCCTGGCACCGGGCCAACGCGGCGCCCCACTCCGGACTCTCGCGAGCTAGCCTCTGGAGGCCCCGCTGCACGTTCAAGACAGCGACGCGAATGGCCGAGCGGCAACTCGCGCCAGTCGCAGCAGTCCAGCCAGCACGCGTAGTACGCCGTAATATCTTTTTTGCAGGCGGATGTGGCTGGTGCCTTCTGGGCTTCGCCCCGAAAGTGAGTGGCGGCACCCCGCCATATCTGAATCTTGGCCGCGTCAGAGGCAAGCACTTTTGAAAGGCCCGCGTATCAGCTGCTGACGCAGACCTCGCTCGCTTCCCCGCCATAAACCGGCGCGCACGGACAGGCCGAGAAAAAAAGACACCCAGTCTTGAGCCAAGTATATATATATATATATAGTGCGATATATAGACTGGTTCATATATGTATATATAGCGCCCACAGTCCGAACTATAGAGCGCATTTTTTCTTCTGCATGTGTCGCGCGCAGTCCCGGGCTGGCTGCCTTGCATGGATTACTATTGAGGCGTCGAGAGCACCGCGCGCAGTATATACATGTGCGCCGCCTGGCGCTGTATATGTACAAAGGCGCATGCCCCAGCCCCCGAACGCCGCGGGCCTGTGTCGGAACACCCCCCCCCCCCGAACATGCGCGAAGCGCGTGGCTCACTTGCGGGCAGCCCGGGCCCTCCTGGCCCTGCCCTTTGGCGCGGGAGGCGAAGACGGCGCCTGCTCTTTGTTGCGACGCTGTTCCTTGATGCGGCGACGAGCGCTCTTCAACAACTCGCCCCATGCCGCCTTCCGGACCTTCAGGTCCGCGAGAACGAACGGCAAGTCCGCGAGCGGTACGCCCGCGCCCCGGGTGGCTTCCCGCAACGCCAAGAGCTCGGCGCAGGCCTTCTGCCAAGCGGAGGCTTCCGACTCTGCGCGCCGGAGAGCCTCGGCCTCATCCTCCGAGACGTCCGCTTCCGCCGTGCCGTCCTTTTCGACACATGGAAGCTGCTTCAGCACGGTCGGCACGGCTTTGCAGAAGGGAGTGACGATGCTCAGGGCCTTGGCGGCCAAGTCCACCTTGACCTGATTCTTTTTGTCGGCCTTGGCCTTCTCAGCTTCCACTGCCTTCTGCGTGCGCTTGGCGACTGCCTCGGGCTTGTCGCCTGACTTGGCCTCTTTCGCAGGGCGACCCGTGGCCAACGACTCGACAGCCACGTCCAGTTCGACGGCGGGCCCGTCGTCCTGGTCAAGCCCGGAGTCCAGCGCCGCCGACTTGCGCTTCTGATTTTTTTTCTCCCGCAGAGCCTTCTCGAGCTCGCAGATCTTTTCCTCTGCCTTGCGGTGAAGCTCGCGAAAAACGTCCTTGCGGATCGGCACGGCGTATAGCCGCCCTAGCTTATCGTGGTCTTCAAACGGGCACGACTCCACTGCCGGCCGCTCCCAGCCGCGGGCCAGCCAGACCGACAACGGCAGGCGCTCTGCCTCCACGGCGTGCTCCTGCTCCGTTATGTGCTGGCTCACGAGGCGCGACAAGAGATTGCTGCGCACAGTCTGCCAGGTATAGCGGCCAGCGAGAGGAGCCTCCTTGCACTTCTGGAAGAACGTGGCGCGATCTTCTAGACTCATGCCCTGCACCGGGGTCTGCCCGACGTTCCTGTAGAGCGTCGTCTGCAGCGACAGGCAGCAGCGGCATGTGAACGTCTTAACCTTATGGCGGCCAGCCGCATCCGCCGGCATCTCGAGCTTGCAGATCTGACAGAGCAAGGGCTTTGGTGCTTCGGCTGCTTCGGGCTGGGCCGGCTGAGCCGCGCTGGGCGGGGATGCGTCCATGGCCCGTATATACGCAGCCGCAAGAAAAGCCTCGTTTTCTCCTTTGAGCCACGCAGCTTGCGGTGCACACAAGAATGTAAGTTTTTGCCCGCAGGCCGAGAAGCGGGCCGACTCCGGGCCGACATGCGAGGAATGCCATGGTTCATGCCCTGGTACGCGGGCCGACGCAGGCCGACACGAAAATCCAAGAAAACCATACGTTTTTTGGGCGGGCCGACGCCGGGCCGACAACTCCCCCACTGCCGGATTTTAAAAAAAAACACGGGCCGACAAAGGCCGACACGTGGCCGACACCCCCCCTTTTTTACAAAAACCCAGAAAATCATGCCTGCCCCTGGAAAAAAACGTTAAAAAGGAACCACTTCCCTTCCCCCACCCCTCCCCCCCCGACCCTTAGCGCCTTTCTTTTCTTCCCTCTTTTCTCGTCCCGCGCGCGCCGGGGCCGCGGTCTGGCCGCACCCTTGCGCAAGAGCCGCGGTGCGGCCGGAGAACCCCGCGCGAGCACCCCTCAGCGCAGGAGCTGCCGCAGGGTGGCCTCCCACATCTCTGCCACCAGCTTGCTCCTTGCGGCCGCCGCGCCTCCCGAAGCCGAGCCTCCAGAAGGAGGCGGCGGCGGCGGAGGCCCCTTCCGAGGCTTGTCCCGAGGACTGTCGGGAGGCGGAGAGGAGCTCTCACGCCGCTGCTTCCTCTTGTGCTTCTTCTCCCGCGGGAACGGCCGGGATTCGGGAAGCTCTTCCTTGACGCGCGGCGTGAGCTCCCGCTTCTTTTCTTTCTTCTCCTTCTTTTCTTTCTTCTCCTTCTTTTCTTTCTTCTCCTTCTTTTCTTTCTTCTCCCTCTTCGGCGGGGGAGCCTCCTCAGAGGTCGGCTCATACCCCTCAGCGCGCAGCTCCTCCGGGACCGGCGAGTCCGCCATATCGCCCTGGAGCCAACGCTCGCGCGCGTGCGCAGCCGCCTCCTGGCATCTCTTCCAGGGTCGCACCCCGCGCTGCCACTGAGCCCATGTCAAGCAGTGGGCCCCTCGGCGGTGATCCCTATAGCTGTGCGCCGCAGGGAAGATCTTGCCGTGGCAGCGCCCGCAGACAAAAGTCCTTCCCTGCCGATTGCGCGCGGGCCTCACCCTTTTGCGGGGCGCGCGCGCCTCGCTCTCCTCCGGCTCGATCGAGGGCGTCGACCTGCGCCTCTGGGAGTCCAGCTTCTGGCGAAGCTCCCGAGCCTTCCTCTCCCTCTCCTCCGGGGTGGCGGGCGCCCCCTTAGGCTCAGAGGGCCTCTCACTCCCTAGCGCGGGAGTCAAGACCACGCCCGGCCTCGAGCTTTCTTTCCCCCCCTCCGAGCGCGGCGGGGTCAGCGGCGAAACCCCCCCCTCGACCGGCGCCAGGAGATCTTCGCGCTTCTCCGAATTCGCCGGAGCTGTGACGCCAGCTTCCGGCACCGCCGCGAGGCCAGCCGCGTCAGCCTCCTCGCCGGCGGTGTCTTCGCCCAGCACAGCGGGCGCCACGGGGCCTGCCCCCATGGGCGCGTCCCCGGGCTCCGACGAGCTGTAGGAGCTCGTCGAGGACGCCATGGACCTGGCAGGGACGTAATACGGACGACATGTGCATGCGTGTGCGCATATCTATATAATTGAAGATATATATATATATATATATATATATGTATTGTGTTTTTATACGTGTCTATATGTATGTGCGTGTGTCGTGCGACGGCGACCGCAGCCAGCACGTCTTCCACTGGCGCGAGCGACGGCCACAGCCAGCGCTCACAACCTGCGAACCTCGGACGGCGACCGAAGCCAGCGCGTCCGCCAGCCGGCGCAAGGACGGCGACCAAAGGCCAGCTCGACCTGCGGCCACTGGGACGGCGACCGAAGCCTGCGCGTCTGTGAGCGGCGACCGAGGCCCGCGCGCTCACTCGTGCGTGCGGGCGGCGACCGAGGCCGACGCGCCCTTGCCGCACGGGCGGCGACCAAGGCCAGCGCGCCCGTATTTGTTCGACATATAAATATATATATACATATATGTGGGATATATATATATACACATATACGCACACAATTATATATAATCTGTTTCGTGTGTCTTCCGATTTGCGCATGCACGCGTGTGTGCGCGCAAACGCCTGCAACAAAAAAACCGGCCTCCGCCGGGCTGGCTCCTGCCAGTGCTATAGCGGTTCCGAGCCAAACGGCAGCGGGGTTCACTTCAGGCAAACATATATACGTATATTTTTCTTTAAAAAAAAAGCGGAACGAACAAAAGAGCCCTGCTATATATATGCAACAGCAACGATATGTGGGGCAGCCCCCCGGACCGCTTCGAATCTATATATATATATATATATCTATATTTTTTTTCGCGAAGTGTCTCGGCTCACGCAACGCATCGATGCGCAACATGCCCTCGCGCGTCGAGGGCGCTCACTGAACCTTGCGGAGACCTCTTTTTATCCAGCAGCTAGGGCAGCAGCCGGGTCTGTTGCGACATCCGCCGCAGCCCTCCGGCTTGCGGAGCAAGCGCTGCCGTTCCGTGATCTCGGGCAAGCCGCGACCGGCGGACGGCGGCTTAGACTCAGCCTTCGCCTTTGCAGCCGGACGCTTCAAGTTAGCGCTTACGTCCTTCGCCTCCCTCGCCGCCGGGCGTTTCATGCCGCGGCTTGCTTCCTGGTGATTCGGGTCGTGGCTCGCCGCCGGGCGCTTCAGCTCCAGCTTGGCTGCCGGGCGTTTCAGCTCGTGCTTCGCCGCTGGTCGCGTCATGCCACGACCCTGCAGCCCTTGCTCTGGGTCGGCTTTATTCTTGCGACTTGTGGCAGGCAAGCCTGCCTTCTTGCGCAGGGCGGCTTCCATTTCATGAACCTGGTCTTCGGCCGATGCCTCAGCGCTGCATAGGGCTATCTCTGCTGCGCCCTCGACAGGGCCTGCCTGTTTAGCTTCCTGCGCTGATGGCGCGCTGAGGCTGATAGCCAGCGGCTGAGGGCTCGGTGCGGGCTGTGTCGCCGGCCCTTCCAACTCTTGGCCAAGGCCCAAGCGGGAGCTTGAACATAACGTGCGCTGACTGTCCGTCAGCGCCAAGCTTTCCGTGGTCGCCCTTCGCGGCACGCTTGGCCCTGCCACTGCTCCAGCGTTCGAAAAAATCTGCAGGTTGCGCAGCAAAGGGGGCGACTGCGTGTGGCCGCTACTATAGCCTGTCAGCGCGCTAACCAAAGCCTGCAGCCCAGCCTGCACTGGCGCCACCCCTTGCTGCTCCAGCTGCACGGTCTGATGCGTGGATCGTAGTGGCACGCGGGCTGCGCATGCTACAAGCTGTCCTTCAGAGGTCGCCCGGCCGGCCGAGGAGGCCTCGGCTCAGGGATGTCTTCGACGAACTGGCGCTGCATATCTGCTGGCAAGGCCTCCCAATCGCCTGGCAGACCGGTGAGCCACGTTGCTGGCTCATGGTGATGCCTTTGAAGCTGTTTTTTGATCTTGGACCAACACTGCTTCAAAGTTTGCACATGCAGGTGCATATTGTACGCATCTGCGTTGCCTTCCAGCAAGCCAAGCGTTGCGGACAGGTATCCAAAAGTCCCCTCGCTCGGTGTGCGCAAGCCCAAAAAAAGGCGCGCGTCAACATGTGCTCTGCCCTAGACCGCGCAGATGCCATGTTCCGCAGCGCTTGCCAGTCCGATGCGAAGAGGAAACGATCCAGTCGGCTATAGTCCTGCGCCGCCCTGCGGGTCTTCGGCGCTGCGGCCTCGCGAGTTCGTATGGCCTGAAGTATCATATCCCGCTCCTCCGCCGAAAAGCCCAGTGGGTCCGTCGAAAGCTCGGCGGCAACTTGGTCCACCTCTTCTGGCTCGACAGGGGTGGACGCCAGAAGCGTGACCAGCGAACGCATGTGCTCTGCGCGATCGGTGGGCGCTTGCTCTGCCATGTGCTGGAGGCTTCGAGCCATTGCCGTCACTGCTGCTTGGGCCATGGGATCGACTCAGTGGGCGGTCTATATATGTGTTATCCACCGTGGAGCCCAAAAGTTGCTGCGGTCGGTCGCGTGAGCCACAGATGTGCTTTCACACGTTTGGAGCGTAAATGAGATGTGACCGGATGGCGCGACATGTGCGAAAAAAAGGAGGACGTAAGTCGAACCTAAGTCGAACCTAAGTCGAACCTAAGTCGAACCTAACTTGTTTGACTACACTTAAGCTAAGTCGGGTAAGTGGGACCTAACTAACTTACGGCTGACTTAACTTCGAGTTATACTTAGGTACTACTTAGGGTTCCACTTAACCAACTTATAACCCATGTTACCTAACTTATAACCTATGTTATAAGTAGGGTAAGTCGACCCTAAGTTGACCAAGACAATATAGTGGAGTGTATATCCGCACCCACTCCTGATCCTGCCAGACCGAATATTCAAGCCATGGGTGCTGCTTCGAATCATCGATGTCCATGTCGAAGCAAGAGGCAAGGATTGTCGCGGGCTCCGATCCAGCTAGTAGATGAACAGGCACCATGCACAACCATGTTCAAACAACAACCAAGCAAGATCATGCAAGTGTAGAGACCACCCTTATTTTGTACGCTGCGCTGCTCATGCGAGTCTAGTCCTCAGTCAGCTCGAAGACGGGACGCGTCTTGTCTCCGCCACTGTCGGAAAGATTCACGGGCCGGTAGGGCTCGGAGACCCCAATCGTCTCCGATGGTGTGTTTCCACGCGATGCACGTACTGGTTGATGAGGATGGGAAGCTTGACGTGCGCGAGCCGTCAGTTGTTGAGAAATCCCCTCCTGGAGACGAGTCAGCTCTTCAGTAGAGAAATCAGCCGCATCCGAGGACCTGAGAATCGCGTCTAACAGCTCCGGCGACATACCCAATGCCGCAGACTGCGTGGCCACGCTGTGATGATCAGGGAGATACATGGAATCAAATTCATGACCAGCGTGAGGGGCAGCGACTCTCCGATAGCCCTCTGTGGCCCAGTCTCGTTTGTACCGCGTAGTGACTTGGACCTGCCCACCGACTGAGTCCTGGTTGGGAGCATAGAACTCCCTCCATTCTCTAAAAGTATGCGGAGGAGGTGGAGCATCATGTTCTTCTTGTGGCGTCCATGGTCCCGGATGAAAGATCTTGACCCACTGGGCATCTGGTTGTTGAGGATCCGGGCACCATTCCAGCCACGCCATGACAACGCAACCACGGAAAGACAAGTTGATAGGTGTACGGCTGCAGACAACAACGAGTGAAAGCGAAACAACTATCATAATGCAAAAGCCCACTTTTGTAGCACTGCGCGGCTCCAGCATCGAAGTCAGTCTCCCGAAGCGAATTGAATTGAACAGACTCTCCAGGAAGGCGAGGACGGGCATCAGCCATCATGTGAATTAGATGATGCCGAGGAGGAGGTCAATCCAGCATACATGAGGTCCGGTGCACCCGAAGCGAAAACTGGCCTCGCTATGCTGGGATGTGGACGACCCAGGCGTTGGTACCCCTTGGTGACCCAGTCCCTGTAATACCAAGTGTAGAAGGTGGCGTAGGATACCGGTTGCAAAACCGTGCCTGTGGTGGTGCCGCCTGTGCTTTCCCTGGGCCAATACACTTCGAAGTGGTGGACCTTGCGCCATTCCCGATAGGTGGTCGGGTCATCCGGGGCCGGTCCCAGGGTGTCAATGGCTACTGGATGCCACTGACCCGGTACATAGATCCGAATCCATTCCACACTCGTTCCTGCTGGCCCATTGACGATGTCGTAGTCAAAATAGCGAGGTAGGACCCATCGTGCTGCACCCTGCACTGTACTATTGAACATTTCAACCCGACAAGCTGCTCAAAGTTATCAAGGAAAGCGGCGAATACATAGAGACGGCATGCACACCACCAAGCAAGACAACCCAATGTGGACTCACATACAACGCAAGCACAACCGCATCTTTATCAAACATGCTACTCAAGTGTCACTCCGAATCATTCCAAGGATCATGGAATGGTGGCGGTGACGGTTCCCGCCACGCCCCATCCGGTACCGATGAGCCCACCGAGGACTCAACGTCTGCATTCACGAGCATCGCGAATCCGATGGATTGTACAGGAGCTCCAAGTCGTTGATACCCTCGTGTTTGCCAGTCCCGGTACTCCCACACGTGGTAGGACACATAGGAACTGGGTGTGACTATGGGATCCATTGTGGTGCCTCCGGCGCTGTCTTCAGACCAGTACACTTGGAAGTGATATGATCTGCGCCACTCCCGATACGTGGACGCGTGAAGTGGGTCAGGAACTGGCGCCTCATCGGGAACGGGTCTCCAAATGCCCGGAGAGTAAATTCGAATCCATTCCACTCCTCTATCGATCTGGTACTCGAAATACTGGGGGTTCATAGCAGCAATACAGGCTCGCACGACTGCTAAACTAGTCGAAAGTCTGCGGCAAGGACACACATGCATTGTCAACCGCGCACATCCGCTGGAGAGTGAGGCAACTTTTCAAACTCAAGGTGAAACACGGCAACGAGGTCTGAAATGTCCGACTCCTAGGTTTCACTGTCGTTGATGTCGCGCACACCTGCAATGATAGTGTCCTGGTCGTCTGCGAGCACAAGGGGAGAGACATTTCCGCCCATGGCGCAGGATGGCATGACAGTAATGCTTGCAAGTTGCCGATGGGGACTGCGATGGACGGCCAGCACGTTTGGAAGAAAACACTGTAAAGGGCCGTCGAGATCGCCGCGGCGCTGAAGCTGATGCTGTCCGAGATCGTTTGGACGAGCGCCCTGGACTGCGTGGTTCTTCATCACGGGAGGGGTCAGTGCTGTAGATCGAGCGGCGTGTGCGCTGCGATTTCGAAGAGGTAGGGCAGGATTGTCCGCGAGGGGCTGAGATCGAGGGGCTGCGTACCGAGGGCATAAACTGTGGGTGTAGAATCACCGGTGGTGGTGGTGGTGGTGGAGGAGGAGGTGGAAGAAGCAATGGCAGACTTGGCGGGGGCGGAGGCGACGTAGTCAGCCGAATGGGTCTGTCGAGTAAAGCCCCGGGTCCATGAAATTGTAACCACGTCGGCTGCGCTCCATGGGTCCAGGTAATGTACGTCTGTACAACTTGTTCCGACATGATTTGAGCAACTCAGGCATGACTTCACTGCATGTCAACGGCATCTCCCAAAACGACAAGCAAGAGTAAGTCACGTGCAAGCAAGCAAACAACATGTGATCAACAACTAGAACCGGACACACCGCCGCAGCTTACCATTTAGTCCTCCGATGGTCGCTGCTGCATTTGACGACCGTGTTCCTAGCCGCGAGCCTCAAGTTGTTGATAGACCTTCCATGCCTGCTTAACTTCCTCAATCGGCTTCTGAAGGAACCGAGCTATGGTCTTATAGGTGGGCCTGGAATCCTTGTCCTTCTTCCGTCTCACCATTTCATCCAGCTCACCCTGTGTCCATGCCGTGAAAGGTTCACGGTATGCATTGCGAAGTGCAATGGTGAATTCTTGTAGAAGTTCCCTAGGACCATGAACCACCGTAGGCGACGGCCGGAACGACGAGGCACCTGGATGCGGACGTACCGAACCATCAGAATCCGAATCAGGCGTCGTAGGCGTCGTCTGTCCTGGCTCTCGGCCACCGCGTGCAGCGGAGGGAGCAAGTGGACGAGGCGGTGGCAGTCGATCCAACATAGATTCGGGCCGAGTACCAGGATTGTGGTCACTAGCATCACGATGTGCCGCTCGAGGCGGGGACAAAGCCGGTATGTACCAGGTAGATGACGTGTCCACAGGTCGAGCCCGAATTCGTGTGGGGGATCGGGATCTGTCTGACGAGGCGCGCTCCGTGATGATGCGGGGCCGCAACCCATGTCTGGAGTTTCTTGGTGCTCTCGGGGTCACCACCGTGTCTGACGGACGACCACGCTCCGTCATCAAGGCAAAGTTCAGGGTGTCCAGAGCTGTCGCAACTTGTGATGCAAGGACATTGAGTACAGCCACCAGGTTATTCACAAACTCAGCTGACAACTGCATGGCAACCGATCAAACAACAAGGTCAACTCAAGCAAAGCTGCAAAGCTATAACGCTGCGGCATGGCAAAGATATGGTGCATGCAAACATGAATGTAGCAAACGCTGAGGTACTTTTGTCGCTGTTGCTCCGTCACCGTTCATAAGACAGACCTGATGGTCGGCAAGCTGGCATGGCTTTGACCGCCGGTGGATACTTAGGAGTGTGAGCATGGCGGCGGGCCGTGGGAACCGCATCAGCTGGACGGTCCGGGAGCCGTCGGTGATGGCTGCGGGATCGTCTCCGGTGCGGCTCTCGATGCCTAGATCTTCGCCTTCGTCTGTGTTCCCAGGAGGTGCTGACACTCACCGTGCGCACGTGAGCAGGGTACTCCGCACGGTTATCCGAGGTAGCCACGAGAGTGACCAGCGCTGCCATGTGGTCAGGTCTGACCGATGTTGCCGGCAAGTGCGGCGGCGCCGTGGACGGCGGAGGCAGCGGCGGAGGATGACCGTCAGGAATCGGTGGCGGCGGGGGCGGCTGTGGATGCCGCTGCTGGCCTTCAAGACGCTGCAGTCCAGCCAGAAGTAGACTGATCTGCGATGACATAGCGAGTAGCATGTGCCGGCAATCGCGTAGCAGATCCCCATGATCCATCACAATCCCGGAAAGATGAGACAACCAGGGCCAAATCAACCAGTGATGACTAAAAGCGGCGACGGAAAGCAACACAAGGCATACAACCAAACATGCAAGCGCAACACCGTGAAAGGAAACATCGTAGTCAAACCATGAGCCGCGGACAACTCTATGCGTTTTTACGGAAGAGGAGCGTCATGATGTACATCATGAAAACAAAGCGCACACCACGTCGGGTCAGTAGCAACGCTATTGTACTGGCATGCCACCATGGTTCACCAGAACATGCCCATGTAGCTGGGCACTGCAATCGAAGATCGGAGTTTCCACCTGCCATCTTTGGCG